ATCCACTCTCAACCACCGCCACCACCACCACTCACTCCCAGAATCCACTCTCAACCACCACCACCACCGCTCGCTCCCAGAATCCACTCTCAACCACCACCACCACTCACTCCCAGAATCCACTCTCAACCACCACCACCACTCACTCCCAGAATCCACTCTTAACCACCGCCACCACCACCACCACTCACTCCCAGAATCCACTCTCAACCACCACCACTCACTCCCAGAATCCACTCTCAACCACCGCTACCACCACTCACTCCCAGAATCCACTCTCAACCACCGCCACCACCGCTCACTCCCAGAATCCACTCTCAACCACCGCTACCACCGCTCGCTCCCAGAATCCACACTCAACCACCACCACCACTCACTCCCAGAATCCATTCTCAACCACCGCCACCACCGCTCACTCCCAGAATCCATACTCAATCACCACCACCACCACTCACTCCCAGAATCCACTCTCAACCACCACTCACTCCCAGAATCCACTCTCAACCACCGCCACCACCGCTCGCTCCCAGAATCCACTCTCAACCACCACCACCACTCACTCCCAGAATCCACTCTCAACCACCACCACCACTCACTCCCAGAATCCACTCTTAACCACCGCCACCACCACCACCACTCACTCCCAGAATCCACTCTCAACCACCACCACTCACTCCCAGAATCCACTCTCAACCACCGCTACCACCACTCACTCCCAGAATCCACTCTCAACCACCGCCACCACCGCTCACTCCCAGAATCCACTCTCAACCACCGCTACCACCGCTCGCTCCCAGAATCCACACTCAACCACCACCACTCACTCCCAGAATCCATTCTCAACCACCGCCACCACCGCTCACTCCCAGAATCCACACTCAATCACCACCACCACCACTCACTCCCAGAATCCACTCTCAACCACCGCCACCACCACCACTCACTCCCAGAATCCACTCTCAACCACCACCACCACCGCTCGCTCCCAGAATCCACTCTCAACCACCACCACCACTCACTCCCAGAATCCACTCTCAACCACCACCACCACTCACTCCCAGAATCCACTCTTAACCACCGCCACCACCACCACCACTCACTCCCAGAATCCACTCTCAACCACCACCACTCACTCCCAGAATCCACTCTCAACCACCGCTACCACCACTTACTCCCAGAATCCACTCTCAACCACCGCCATCACCACTCACTCCCAGAATCCACTCTCAACCACCGCCACCACCACTTACTCCCAGAATCCACTCTCAACCACCGCCACCACCACTCACTCCCAGAATCCACACTCAACCACCACCACCGCTCACTCCCAGAATCCACTCTCAAACCACTCCCCGAAGTGTCTCAGATCTCACTCGCCAGCGATGACAGCCGTCGTCGGGAATCGAACTCGGTTCGCCGCGCTGCGCGCGAGATGTTCTCTAACCACTGCGTCACCGCTCCCCAACATCTGCCCTTCCGCAACCGGAGCGACGCACGTAGCCGACCCGTGAATTCGCGGACATTGACAAACACCCACCACGGGAAGGAAGCTGAAAGCGGTCCGACTGATGACCCAGTTATTCCGCTAAGTTTGGTGCGGTTTCCTGTTAACGATGCCCATTCATCCCTCCGCGCACTAACCGCACATCTCTCACTCCTTCGCCAGACACGAGAGAACTGCCGTTTGGCACGGTGAAGAGGTGGAAGGAGAAAGGCACAGCAGGGTTGTGGCTGACTGGGCTGGCTGGGCCGGCTGGGCTAGGCAGGCTAGGCTGGCAGGGCTCGCTTACTGGGCTGGTTGGCTGAACTGGCTAGGCTGGCTAGCTGGGTGGGTAGACTGACAGGCTGGGCTGACAGGCTGGGCTGACAGGCTGGGCTGACAGGCTGGGCTGACAGGCTGGGCTGACAGGCTGGGCTGACAGGCTGGGCTGACAGGCTGGGCTGACAGGCTGGGCTGGCTGGCTGGCTGGGTTGGACGCGACGGTCAACTACAAAATGACGTGCGCGTTGCGAGGCAATTTGCTTTAAAATATCGATGTGGGCGTTCGCAATGCATCGCCCGTCGATTCGTGCCATGCCGAGCCGATTAATTATTGTTCCTGATGCGTGCCGAGCAAGCGGCGAGATAACCGCTCTTTCTACTTTGGACTCGCAGCTGCTCCTGCGGCTCCTGTACACGGGCCGCGATAAACGAGGGACAATCCAAGTGACGCAGGAAGAACGCGAGATCGAACAGAAAGGTGTCTCCTGGGATTAATAAATCAGTTACCTCTTCAGCTATATCGCGGGGGGACATGAAGTTATTTGTGTATATACTGGATATAAAAAAAACATGAATGAATCAATGAATCAGTTTCCTATTTAAGTTGTGGTGGAGTTGTGAAGTCCGCAGCTTCCCCTACAGCTGCTGCCCCCTCCACCCTGACTCACGGTGGCAGTGCCCCGAGCAAACGCAAGTCCTGTTTCACACGCTCACCAACACTCACCAACACTCAGATCCTCACAACCCAACACTCACTGCCACCCCGATCCTTATAACCCAACACTCACCACCATCCCGATACTCATAACACAACACTCTCCACCACTCACCACCACTGGCAGAGCCAGTTGGGGGCGGGGGGGGTTAAAGTGTGGCACGTGCCCCCCAATGATCCGATCGAAATCCCTAATTTCGATCGGATCATTGGGGTTTATTATTAATAAATCGGCATTTTGCGACCACATCGACCCTCATAGCCCAACACTCACCACCATCCTAATACCACCACCCCGATACTCACAACCTAACACTCACCGCCACTCACCACCCTGATCCTCATAACCCAACACTCACCACCACCATCTCAATATTCACAACCCCACACTCACCACCACCTCCATAACCGACCACTAATCCTCCCGGTGGTACTCATCTCTGTTGGCTGCTCTTATCCAGTGGTGAAGGTCCACGTTCCCATGTCAAGGGTGAGTTATCCTTGGTGGGAATCCGTCTCGCCACGTGGCCGCATATGAATAACAATACAAGCGGCAACAATTACAACTCCTACTACGACTGCAATACTAATGATCTAACGCAGCTGTGATGTGTCAGAGGGCTTGACCCAAATCCGACTTAAAAACTGACCAACGCCATCATCAACATCTGCTTCCCCACCCCGTGGTCTGGGACTCCCTCCCCCCCCACTCCCCTGTCCAAGTCGAGACTCGAGACTTCTCGATCTCTGGACTGGCTTCCTCTACTCGATACAAAAAAAAACTATCGCCGTATTGAACTTGATGTTCCGTCTCTCTGTATCCCCTGGTATATCTGTGTTAATTCCCCCTACTTAAGGTCTGTATATATATCTGCGGTTGTGTTTCCTCTACCTGATGATGATTGCTTGTGTTGCGATGGAAACGTCGTATGCTATTATATAATTTTATTTTTTATTATTTCTACGTGACTTTACCGAAAAAACCAAAGAGTATAGCCGGTTTCTACAGCGTTCTTAAGATGCGGGCCCACGTTCACATTGTCACGTATATCACATAAACAGCATCAGTCATCATCAGAAGCATAGCAATGATCATCTCCACCACAATCACGATCAGGCCGGTAAAACCACGCGTTTCTGTTGCGATTGGTCTCTCTCGTCATTTACAGACGAGATTCGTGTCGGCATTAGCTCAGCCAATGGGACCTGTAGCGTGGAAGTGGCGAGTCAGCATCGACGGGTTCCCAGCTGCACACCCTGAAGCATCGAGCGTTGGCGACTACGCCGCGCTAACGAGCCCTAACGAGGACGAAACCCGATCCACGGTCGTCTCTCCGATCTCACTTCCGCCTGTCAGACGGCCACACATTTGCTTGAATGTATTTTTTATGTTAAGACAAGATGACCGCGTATGCAGTTGTTCAAGACCTGTTGATGCTTTTTGTATAACGCGCACACACAGCCTGAGTGGCTTTGCCGAACATTGAGTCGCCTCTTCAATTTGCTTGAATTCGCCACTAACGCGCACAACTCAAAATAATCAAAACTGCGCCGAGAGGAAACCGAGAATACTCTTGTTGGGTTAATGAAACCGTTTGGTGGGAAAGCCGGCTGAGCCATCAGCGAGTTATTTTGTTGTAACGCTTTGTTTTGTTAGTTGGGTGTTGTCCATTCAATTCCTGATGTTGCTGCTGCTGCTGCATCGGCGACAGTAATGATTGTACAAATAAACCGTGGGATGATTGGAGCGCGGGAGACGGCGCGCTCCACACTGGAGATCTCCCGCGAGGATGCCCAGGGCCAGACTTTCTCAGATAGCAGGCCGGGAGAAGCTCGGGCAGGACGGGGAGGGGGGGCAAGGAGGAGGGGGGGGGGCATGGAGGGGGCATGGAGGGGGGGCATGCAGGGGGGGCATGGAGGGGGGGCATGGAGGGGGCATGGAGGAGGGGGGGCATGGAGGGGGGGGCATGGAGGAGGGGGGGCATGGAGGGGGGACATGGAGGAGGGGGGGCATGGAGGGGGGGGCATGGAGGGGGGGCATGGAGGGGGCGCAGTCCCCTCCAACTAAATGCAGAAATGTTCAGACTCCTGTTGTGTCATTAACCGATTTCGACATTTGTTTACGAGTGTGAAATGTATTGCCGTGTTGTTCATTCGTGCGGTGGAGGGGTGATGAACCCCGCTGACCCGAGTTCCATTCCCGCTCACGGCCACCAACACGAGTGGCGAACATCTGAACCGGTCCTGTGCCTATCTTCAACTTCTTTCCCACCGTACGTAGCCAAACGTACTAATCGAAGGTGCCTTCCCTAGGTTAACTCAGTCTCAAATGAGTACCCGGCGCAGTGTAAATGTTTACACAAGGGAGGCAAAGGTGGTCGGGTATTCACCGGGCCTCCGACCGGTGCCCAGGTTTGCCATCGGCTCCCCCGCCGACAGAACAATTACCGAGTGCGGCGCACAGCTGGGCACGGATTGAAGTTGACAACAAAAGTCGCTTTAAAGACGAGAGCGGAAACCACGTCAGGAAGGAACTGTACACACAGCCGTTTAATCAAGGAAACACTCAACCCTCGAAATACACACAAAATCAAGTCGCTTATGTTGTAATTACACTTCCAGGACGTCACGACCAGTGTGGAAGAGTAGGCCTAAAGACCCTGCGGGGGAGCGCTCTACTGGCGGGAGAGCCTCTGCGAGACGGGGGGCGGCATTCTAGAGAGCTCTTGGAGAGCACCACGGACACGTCAAGACTCGCAGTGCCGACGTAGGAATTCGCTATTTGGATAAGACCTGGGGGGATTGAAAGGTGCAAACCGGTAGTTTCATATTTACAGAAGTTTTAAAACTGTCGCTCTGTCGTGACCTGATGGTCTCAGCCCGGTGATCAGCGACGGTACATTCAATTTTGGTTCCGCGCCTAATTTGGACAGCTCTGCCAACAACAAAAAACGGATATGACTTGTCGCGCAAAAAACGTCACTCTCGTACGCACAGCGAGTGAGTGGGACAGTGCCCGCGTGTGGACCGGTGGTCGCTTGAAAAAGGGGATCTCAGCGCTAGCTCCGAGATATCCGCTTCTGCGGGCCACCCTCGAACAACACCAAGGGGGGGGGGGGGGGGGGGGCGCTGCGTGAGATTTCCGAGACCACGCTTCGTGACGACGCGACACCAACAGCACAACTGGTACAAAACTAAAATAAATTTAGGAAAAGTAGTACAAAAGAATTTATTAAATAAAGAAACCTTCCGCTGTATCATCGGTCACTGTTTAGTCATAAACAGAACACTTTTTTTGGGTCGCCTCTTCTCGCGTCACGCGATTGACGTGGCGAAATGGCTTCAAGCTCGTCACTTTTTCCGAGATCTCTTTTTTGCAGGTCCCTCCTCCACCTCCTCGTCTTTTGCCACCGCCGCTGCTACCTCCTCCACCTCGTCCGCCCCTCTCTTCGCCTCCACGGTCGACTTGGCGTCCCTCTCCCCTCCACCGGGGTCACCGAGTCTCTCCGTCAGGATGACGCCCTTGGCCATCTTCCTCGTTTCTTGGAATAAAAAAACAAAACCACAAAGCAATAAATCAGGAGCTCTACGTCAGGAGGAAACGTAGCGGCATAAATAAAATAAGTTTATTATTATTAAACATGCTGCTTCAGCAGTGTAGAGGTCAGCAGCGCTGGACTTGCAGAGTAAAGATCGCCGGTTTGATTTCCATCTCCAGGCGCGGCAGTTGAAACAACGGCGGAAGTTCAGAATCAGAATCTCTATTAAGCCTGGAAGAACCCAATGAGCTATTTGGCTCCCTTTCAGAGACGTCCACAAAGTTGCCTAAATCCCCACCCCCACACCGCCTGTCCACCCAGCGGTGTGAATGGGTTCAACCGCGGTCAATCGGCAGGGCGCACGCGGTGGGGTAAAGTGTGGGTAACTCCCACCTGCCCCCAACACGCCTGGGCCCCTGTGTAAGTGGAGGCCCTCTCTGTCAGCGGCAGCGGGCAGTTGCAGGGCTGCGGCTTTACCGCCGCCCATCGTAAAAACGCGCGACGCCTTCAAACCTGGCAAATCGGTGAACGCTCGTGATGAGAAATTGGGCTCTGTATTTGATGGAAAAATCCGTCGGCTGGTGTTCGTCTCATCGTACTGTCCTGGCGGTGCATTTGGTCGCCTTGTTTCGTTTGTCCGGTCATCGTCGTGTGGACCGTACGTTCCGCTTCACGGGTACCGCACCATCTCTCGCTTGTTCCGTCTTTGCATCTCGTTTGTACGTACATACGTACGTTGAACTTCATTCGCGCCCTACGTAGCCAACCGTGCCAGCGAATCGGCAGTGTGTCGTGCCTGATTGAGTGTCCCGAGTCGGCTGCGTCGTCTCGTTCGCTCCGTCTGCTTTGCTGTGTCTAGTCTCGTTTGTTGACTCTTTAAAAATTACAATATCCGTGAGCTTTAAGGTAACAGCAATTAAACATCAAGTACTTTCCTCAAATTCTTAGTTTTTTTTTTAGTAAAGTCATGTAGATAGGTTCAAAGAAAATGGCTTTACCGAAAGACCCAAGAATATGAATTCCTGCAGTCACGAAAGCTTTAAGTCAAGATCTACTTTTCTCAAATTGAACAATCACAAAAGCACAGACGAGACAATCTATGTGTTCACACCCATGGAACACAGCTAGGCCGACCCTGTGCTCGTTGTGTAATCCTTGTTGTCTTGAGGTCCGGGCCGCCCCTCCCCCGCACTACCGCAGGGAATCTCCAGTTGGCTGTGTCATCATTAATGTCATCAGTGATGGTGATGAAGAGGACAGACGGAAGTCAAGGATGAGGTTTTTGAAAGCGAGCGATGAGGTTTTTGAGGGCGGAGCAATGAGGTTTTCGAGGGCGGGCAATGAGGTTTCTGAGGGTGGGTGATGAGGCTTCTGATGGCGGAGCAATTAAGTTTCTGAAGGCGGGCGATGAGGTTTTTGAGGGCGGGAGAGCCGGTACGAACTTGCGTGGATGATGACGGCACGGCAGTTGGAGGAGACGGCGTTCTTCCCCTCGCTCTCCGACAGGCCCAACAGCAGGGCGCTTGCCACCACAGGGGTGCAAGGTCAAAGGTCAAAGGCGTGTGGACGAGCAGCAGAACCGAGAGTACATCATCACCGTCATTATATATTCGCTATTATCTATCACGAGTCAACATCGTCGCTATCATGATTACAACGATCCCATCAATAGATCACGTGGTACGCTAACGTTACGCTTGGCGTAACGACGCAAACAGAACTGCGCAAAACGAAATGTAAAAAAACAGAGGAAAAAGGATTCACAAATCTATTTCTGACCACCCCATCCAATTCATCGAAATCTCTGCCAGGCAAGAATTGCTCCCTTTACCAAATCTCATTCATCCGAAGAAAAAAACCACAGGCCACGCTAATCGGTAGCTCACAGCACGGGAGGACTTGTTCAGACCCTGGCCGGGTGGCTCAGCAGTTCGAGGCACTGGTCGAGCACCGACGGGATCCGGGCTTCGAGTCGCGGCTCGCACTAGAGGAGGTGCTGGGCTGAATCGTCGTTACAGTGGCTGCTCACACAACAGCAGCAACTCTACTGGTCCCCCGGCGTGCGGGAGGAGCTGGAGCCGGGGCCTGGTTCGAACTCTGGCCCCGGGAGGCATTGGGAGAGACTTAGGGAACGGTGGTGTGAATTGGAGATTTGTTGCACGCCTGCTGTCAATTCACGTGGTGGTGAACGCTACACATGCTACGAGCTCCTTTGATAATGTCATCACTGCGAGCTTTCATCCTGAGTCTGTCCCGAGCGGTTTTGTCTGCGCGGAGAAGCGTGGCGGTGTTGGCGGAGACGGGGGTGGGGAGACGGGCACGCTTTGTTCTAGCACCGACTCCTACGCGCGAAGACCAGATTCCAATTGGAACCTCGCTCTCAGAACTCGTGTTTCCCCACACAGCCGGCGTCTCTATTCCGGAACGTCCGGGGAGAGCTCTGAATAAAACAAATCACGCGTCTGAGTCTTAAACAGCCCGAGGGGGGCAAATGCGCTCCACAAACGCCGTGTATATACACACACACACGCCCGCGTTGTTATCTCCGCAGATAACAGCACGTGGCGACAGTTGTCTCTTAAAGTGGGAAAGCGCACCGCCCCCCCCCTTGCCCCGGAGCTTCTGATCTCACCAGATAAGAAAATAAAACTCCTCCTCGATTCAAAAGCCTTACGACGGGACAAGCACGTTGTCCTCCTTGCTTCCTCACACTGGGGCGGAGCGCTGGTTCACCGCACTGCGTCATCAATCCGGCGAGCCGAGTTTGATTTCCGGCCAGGGTTTAACGTCAGTAGGAGATATCTGCCCATATATGGAGTGTCCTCGTAGGCCGGATCAGCCCGAAATGAGTACCTGGTGTGGGGGTGTAAACATCGGCACTGGGGAAAAGCGGCCTGGCGTGGGCAATTGTAGGCACACACCACCCCCATTCGAACCTCAATATATGCTCTTGAAAACAGCGAGTGCCTCAAGATCCAATTAAGGCTATGGGGGAGGGGGGGGGGGGTTATAAACAGCGTCTGTGCGAAAGGATACAGGTTGGCGACATCATAGGGTCCTCGTAGATAGAGCGGCTGTTTCGCAAGAGGGGCACAAAAACACAGTGAGCGACAAAGACAGCAGTAACTCACGCATGATGCCACAAATCTCTCACTGAACAGGCTCCCATCGACTCAGCCCCTCCGCAATGTCACAATTAGACATGCGTGCACGATTCGAGGCCGTGATTCGATTCAAGTGGATATTTATTTTGCTTAATTTCAAACGTCTAATTTGCGACGTCTCATCTCGCTAGTGTTGCCCATCTCGTATTGTCTGCGTGGTTCCATCTCGTCTGAATTGTCCATCTTGTACGGTCAGTCTCTTGACGATCGTAAAAAATTCAAGGAATTGCCAGGGCGGGGAGGGGAATTCTTTCTTCATTCCGTACTCTAGCATCCAAAGACCGATGACTAAACCGCAGGCCACGCTATTCTGTAGCTCACTATATTAAAGAGCAAAAGCTCGTTGGTTGAGGTCACCAGATGGCTCGAAGGTCAGAGGTCAGAGACACTGAGCCAGCACCGTTGAGATCCTGGGTTCAAATCTGGATTTCAGTTGCCTGTTGTTAAAGAGGCTTGTCAAGTGTAGTGCGCCGATGATGTTATCCTGATCACCAATGAACGCACAAAATAAAAACCGCATCGCATCACATTTCATTTTGTGATGAATTTGTCTAAATTTCAGCTGTGATCAAACAATGTCGTGTCAGTGTTTTTGCCAACGATGTCATCACTCATCCATATAATGGAGACGTTACGAAGCTGAATTCCGGTCGCAATTTACGGCTGTGAAGCTGACGTCACCACGCGTTAATAATGCATAATAACGCAAGGGTCATTTCACTAAGTGACTTTTAATAATTCTGTAAACTACGTCAAGCTGTAATCATAAATAATAACGTGACGTTGCAGTCCACAGAGACGGGGTGTGATGGGTGTGTTGTGTGTGTCCAAGGTAAGGGCTGTGTGTTTTGGCTTTCGTCTGCCTTTAAATAAATCAAACGTAAGACAAATGCATGGAAGCGATGACTTACGTTGTCGGTGCCGCTGGAGATGATGACATTCTGAAAAACAAACGGAGCTCTGTAACATCCCCTCAACACCAATCAAGTTCATTATCTCTCTTTCTCCCCAAAGCCATGCTCCCCAGCAGTGAGCAACATACATGACAAAGGCTCAAGCACGCATTTCACGTTGTGTCTTTGCCCCATGTCACAACATTTTTTTTGAAAGCCACGGTGGGGTAAAATGTGGGTACCATCAGCTCGCTCACCTTGCCCTTGCAGACCAGCGTGAGGCTGAGCGCGTTGGAGATGGTGCTCCGCCTCGCGGCGGCGTCGCGAACGGCAGGCGAGTACGACAGCTCGAAGAACACGCCGCGCGCGATGGCCTGCACTCCGACGGGCGCGTCACGCGGATTCCCGTTTCAAGCTCGACTCTCGACATCAGCTCGAGCCTCCCGTAAATCACGTGACTTCTGTGTGGGCCCCCCCCACCCATCTACTCTGAACCCCTCCCTTCTCCTGCCCACCACCGTCCCCCCCCCTGTGAAGATAGATACTCCTCCTCTTCCATGCAGCAGTGCCGAAGCCCTCATGTAGCCTCTTGCTCCAAATCCTCATCTCTCCTGAACCTTTGCTCCCATTTCTCCGTTCCTCTTCCATCGTTTCTCTATAATTTCCCATTCTTTCTCTTCTCTCTTCCCTTTGCAGCTCCTTTTTAAAATATATATATAAATAAAACATCCTTGACTCTACTCCCTTTCCTGTGGTGTGCCACAGGTACAACAGTTGCGAGTTTTATTTATCGCGGTGAGAACTCAAGAGGCCGGGAGAAATTCTCGTTTGCAAGAGTGATCTGGGTCACCGAAATTAAAGAAGAAAATTTCTATATTGTCAACGAAGTAAAGCAATCAGGACAACAAAAAGCAAGCAACTTATGACCACCACCAGCACCACCGCCGCCACCAGCAACAAAACCGCCATCACCACCACCAGCACCACCGACTCGTAAGCCAAGACAGGATGTTAGTAAGAATAACAATGCCTCAAGACTCGCATTTGGGAGGTTCCTGCTACATTTTAGATTGTTGGTCAATTCCTTTTTAAATAAGGAGCTTTGGCTTCATGCGGAAATGAATGAAAGCGTCTGGAGAAAACCCACCAAGTGTGTGATGGGATAACAAAGCTCCACACAGATATAATTCAATACCCTTGCTGTACTGCCATCTGCTGGCTGTCTCAAAGCCCAGCAGGTTTGTGAGTTTGACAAACATCGACGTGAACCCACCTACCCTCGCCTCCAAAGTGCTGGATGACTAAAGTATTCTTATTTTACCAAGTGAGGCCCACTGAGCTATATAGCTCTTTTTCAGAAGCGACCTGGCCTATCACGTGCACATTTAAACGCATGTTTCTAAATGTGGACGGAAAAGCCAGAGGACGCGTCAAAAACACTTGCCACGCGTCCAAGGGGAGAACATGCAAACTCCAAATATACAGCAGGCGTCAGGGTCGGGATCGAACCCACATCCTCCTCCATACCAGGTGAGGTCGTTAACATCTCGCCAAAGTAGATCAGGCGTGCGCCACCATTTAGGCACTGATGCTCAATGTCTAATGGTATTGAAAGGTGACGCAGTGTTTCACGCGTCATGCGACATTCGAGAATTTCGGCGCAATCGCTGGTGGATGAAACCAGGTCTCAGGCCCGCCAGCGCAAGTGTTTTGACGCGACAATTGTGAGTCTGCCGAGCCGCCCGTTTTCACCGCTACCCGATGCAACGTTTTCAGATCAACAACAGATTGATTCTCGCCCAAAGAAAACCAACAGGATGATGGACTAAAAATATTTTCATTTACACGCAGAGGCGCACAAGAGATTTCTGCTTATGTTGGCTCTCCAGAGGGAAAGCGTGAGCGACTGTCGTGGCAAAATTTTTTCTATTGTTGCTTTGTAAAAAAAAAAAATCTCTAATTTTAGAGCGATCTTTGGATCACGATGAAGGCAGCAGCAGCAGCAACCAATCAGAGAGCGAGAGAACATCCGCGTCCGCCCTCACCCCTCGGACGGACGGGTGACGAAAGTAAAACGGCTGGCGTTCCGTGCCGTCGATGACGATGATGTCCACGTCGAGATCCATGCACGCCATCTGGTGTTCGCCACGGAAACACAACGCGTTGGAGAGACAGGTTTGTTGCAACTGGCACCCACCCACCCCACCGTGAGCCAGCTCTTGGGAGTGGTCCCCCGAGAGATATTTGCCCGCCGAGATAAATACAGATTAGAGAGACATACAAGAGAAACGAGAGAGATGTAGCGGAATAAATATTTCCGCAAGCTCGCGCCGAGCGTTTTTAATGAGCAGCAATAACAAACACACTCACGTGAAACACTTTCTCCGACTTGGGCATCACGGCAATGATGTCGTAGCATTCCAGACCCGTGCGCTGCGCAACAACACAGACGGGCGCGCTCGTCAGCGCGGAGCTCTCGTGATTCTGCCGAGCCATCGGCCGTGAACAACGCGCGCCGTCTACAACGGGGCTGGGGAACCTATGGGCCGTGGGCCCAATGCAGCCTCTGATTTAACATTTTTTTATAAGAGGCGTCCGCCAAAAAAACCTCCGGCAGGTTAACCGTAAAACTCTAATCTTTAAACCTTAAAACCTACATTTTAAACCGTAACCCCCAAAGTAATGCTGGCCATAGCCCTCAAACTTGAGCCACCGGTTGGCAGCCACAACTTAATTTTATATGGCCTGTGGCCACATGAGCCCTATCATTTATGAAGAGCCTGCAAACCGATATCACAATTAATGCTAAATTGTACGAACAAAAACACAAATACCATTTTGTTCCCATGGGAAGGGTCTGTGATGATAGCCGTCAGCCGCGTCAGGATCTTCAAGGGTTTCCCCGAGCCCTGAAAAACATCGCATGAGTCAGCTCCCACCACCACCTCCACCAACAACAGCACAGCCAAAAGGGAGAGCAAGGCTAATTACAGACAAGAACCAAGATAGTTAACATCGTGCTGCTAGGTTAACAGGTAGCTAATTTTACATTCACGCCGGGTACACACTTGAGCGATAAGCTGCACAACCAAATCGTTCTCAAAATCACGCAATGCAATCGCCTGCTAACTGCTTTGTCCGCGTCTGAGCGAGTGGTTGTGCAACGAGAAAATGAAAGAGCGCACTCAGGACCATCACCACCAATCGTACTCGCGAACCCGCAAGAAATGATACACATCGCCGCAGATTGCTAAGGGTCGACCGGTCGCACAGCTGCTCGGGACCGGTCACGACGACGTCAACATATAAACCATTCAGTTGCATGCAACCAAGTTTTGCAACCGATTGCTCAGGTGTGGTTACCCCCGCTACACCGGGACGGTGGGCGCGTGCGAGTGCAATCACGGACCTGTACTTTTGGAGGATTCTCCAGGAGGAACTGCGGGACCTGCGGTCGCTTGATTTCCTGTGCAGAACCGCACGAGCAGAGCTTGAACGCAAGGGGGAAAAACGGCGTGGCGCGCTACTCGCCCGGAATCTCAGTACACGCCGTCACGGAGGACAGAGGCGCGCGCACACACGCCGTGTGGGGCCAAAGGGGCACAGTCGTTACCTCCAGTCCCCTCCACCCACCCCGAATGGCTTCTTCATCTCGTGATAGGGCACCGAGACCCCCAATTTGGTTAAAATTGCCAAAAAGCCAGAATAAAAAAATGCATGATTTTCCTTGTGTTGTGTCGTGGCCGTGCGTCAACGAAACCTCAAGCCGCGTGCGCCCGCCGTGGCGCGCGTCACGGCAAGATACCCACCTGGCCCTTCGCACTCAAATCCACCACGGTTGTGATGGCCACGGTTGAATATCCCACTGGAAAAAAATGCAAAACCACGGCAAATACAAAACACACATTATACAAAGGCAAAATGTTTCCTTAAATGCGCGGTGCGGAACCCATGGCGCGTGACCCCATTCCGTAAGGTCCGTGACCTCATTCCGTAAGGTCCGTGACCTCATTCCGTAAGGTCCGTGACCTCATTCCATAAGGTCCGTGGCCACACGCGGCCAGAGGAAGATCTAGAAACCTCCCAAAGGGGGAGCGGGGGGGGGTGAGATGCCAAAATGTCAAGATATTTAACTAGCGTCCTACATTAATAACGATAAAAAAATCATTCAATGTATTTTCTCTGCTAAGGATCAATAAAACACCGATGTTCTGGGTCACCAGACAGGTGGGGGAGGGAGGTGCAGTGACAGGTGACAAGCTGTGGGGGTGACCGAGGTTTGTGATTGCATCAAACTATTTGTGAATGCCTGCTGCTGCTGCCGCCGCGTTGGGATCGGTGCACGGGGCGAGATGAACAATACACGGCGCTTGCGTGCTGTTTCTCGGGCAGGAACGATGCAATTTGGCACCGACCTCGACCGTGCAACTAACTGTTGTCATCTGGCACCAGGAAGCGGTGGCGATGTGGCTGACGTCGACGACACTCGGCCGTGATGACCTCTTTCATTTGTATCCGAGTGCCTCTGAAAGGTTTCGGGGCACACACTGGGACGATATCGTGTACAGTACGTACTGTTATTAAGTTGTCGTTTTTGTTACAAGCAATGCTATCATTTAGCTTTTTTTTTAATACGACGGACAATTAAGGGTAATTAACGTCTTCATTTCCCCGTCACCGCAAATCTGCCTTCCCCTTTCAAATGCGCATCAAGTCATTTACACGCCACACGTGACTGATGGTTAGCGAACACATTTATCACACTTGTGCACACGTGTCGCAAGTTAACTGTACAACACGTGCGGCGGAAACGTCGACACTGATCTACGATGCACTGCTGGATGAAGGCCTTCCCCACGCCGTGTCAGTCACGGCGGGTTGTTTGACCAGACTCTACCCCCGGGTTCATAGCGTAGTGGCGCTATCCAATTTGCGAGGAATCCACTCACAAGCCTAACAACTTTAGCGTTCCGTTGATGAGCACGTGGGGGGATAAACCCTATGGGGTGGGGTGTACCGTGGTAGGTCGCGACAATTGAAGTTCTCAAAAAAACAACATTGAACCACTCTGTTTACTGTACAGTGCACTGTACAGACACGTGTGTGCTCGGCACGCGTGTGTGGCGTGGCCCCCTGCGCGTGTCCAGGGTCCGCACTTACGCCTCGCTGCCGCCTCCACGACGCTCTGCAGGTGCTGCGGCTTAGCGCTGGCGCCGCCCGTCAGGTTCAGCTCGGCGAACATTGCCGTGATATCGCGCGCGCCGTTCCTTCGAGCGAGGCGGCTTGGGCGTCTTGAATCGCGACCCCGCGGTGGTTCTTGTGTAGTTCTCCCCGCGCGTGCCTCAAGCGGCCATCTTAGGTAGGGGGCACGCCCGTCGCGTTGTTGCTGCGGGGGGAGGGCGAGGCGGAGTCTGTGACGCCACTGCTCGTCTCGACCAATGGCGTTCTTTCCCGCTCCCCCCGACGTAAGATGTCCGATGCAGGGTCAGCACGTCACGCGTGTGGCTCGCCGTAGGAGGTTTCCGCGAATTCCGTTGCTCGCGTTTTGAGAATTCTATTTGTCAGAATATTTTCCACAATATAGGTTTGTTTTTGGGTTAGATCGCGTAAATATAAAGTGTTGTTAAACCCGCCACAGCCAATTAGTAAGGGTTGTCACGTGAACAGAACATGCCAATTCGTTACTAGTACAGCACATCGGTGTGTTGGCATGTTGTTTACGTGACAAACCTTACTAATTGGCTGTGTCGGGTGGTGGGTGGGTTTAACGACACACTTATATTTACGCGATCTAACCCAAAAAAAATATATTATGCATGACATTGGTCGCAAAAGCCTCCTACGTGTTAAACATCAGAATTTGTATTTCCAGCGGATGAATCCGATGAGCTTTAAAGCTCTTTTGTCACAGATATAGCCTCGTTCATGCACAACTGCATCGCACAGCATTGGACATGACCGCTAATAACAAAATACCAATACAAATATATCATTTAACGGGTGCAACGTGCGAAATCACGTGGTTTCAACAAGCCACGGTTCAAATGAACCAATCACGACGCGAGTTGGGCTCGGCGAGGCGTGGCGCCTCCAAACGACACCCAAACATTGCGATTTGGCGGTGCCGTGGTGGACTACTACGGCACGGTACAGGACTAGAGGCTACGAACTCGTTTGCTATTGAGTCCCTTTTATACGTCTTCTATACTGGTGAGCTGAACTTATAACTTTCACCGCTGGCTTGGTGGTCGCTTTCATCAATTGATGACCCGGCCACGCTGAGCGCGCGCGCACACGCACAGGCTACTGCACTTCTTTGGTTCTGGATTCTCAGTTTCCAGCGCTGTAATTTTAAACAAGAATGATTCTGACGCCTTCTTGCCTTTATTTTCAAACTAAACTTTCACTTTTTGTGTTTTCATCGTTGTTGATGTCTTGTCACATTACTGTGTGTGGACTGTTGCTGCAAATGCTGTTAGAGAGTAGCACCTGGATCGGCACGGCACGCGAGGGGGTGGGTAGCCCGACCGCCTTTGTCTCCACAGTGGCGATGTTTACGCACCGCACCAGGTACTCATTTGAGGCTGAGTCGACCTAGGGGAGTCCCAGGACCGGTTCAAATAATTGTCACCGGTGTTGGCCGTGAGCCGGAATCGAACTGGGGTCGCCGGGTCTGTGGTGCAGCGCGCTAACCGCTGCACCACCGCTCCCCGAGTTAGCGAGCCCGTCCACCCGGCAGCGGCGCGAGTAAGAAATTTCAGCGCTGCGCCTTTAACCTCGCGGCCCGTCACACCCCCGGCACCTCCCCCCCTCTCCCACAAGCGTTAATTTATTTATTTTGAATTTCGTGACATCGCGTCGAGGACCAATCAGAGGCGAGCAGCATCACCCTTCCGCTCTTGTGATTGGCTGCTCGACCTAACGGCTGAGGCCCAACGGCTCCCCCGCCCCGCTTCGCCCCGCGGGAGTCGCGAGCGAGAAGAGCGGAAAAGGGGCGCCTCGTTTTAAATGTCTTTTTAATCGAGATAAACAAAATATATTAAACGGTCGTGTACATTTTACGAAAACAAAAGAAAGTGATCGTCACCAAGCGGTAAGAGGAATAAGTGTTGCGATCGTGAAATTGTGCTGACAAAATGTTGGTATTTTGTTGTGTTCTGAGGCGGAGTTCTAAACTTTCCTCTCCGGAGAGCGTGGTTCTGTGATAAGCCCCCACAGCGTGGTTAACCGGCTTCTAAATCACAATTAAAAGCATTATTGTCATGAGAAACAATTCTATTTATACTTCTAAAATGAATGAAAGGCGCTGTATTCGCTGTGATTGTTAATACAATCATAGATTATAATAATCACTAACGCGTTGCCAACCCGCCTAATGTCCAGCGTGGTGAAGTATAGTCGTTAAAACAATAAAAATTTAATACAGCAGTCGATTAACAAAGGGATGTACAGATTACCGGCCTTCTATCCACTGCTGGGTGAGGATCTCTTCGCAGCCGTGATAAAAACAATAATAACACGAGTGGCAGTCTCGGTTGTGTTGGCATTGCTATTCCGTTGTTCATTATACAAATGCATACCGTGTAGGTTCAATGTTATTATATTTCTATATGCGTCATTACGTGTTTGCTATGTATGCGTATATTGAGAGAGTGCACAACCCTTGCACGGAGACGTTTAATCTCGGGATTTTCCAGGATTAATAAATTATAGTAATAGGTTTTACTATGAGTAAGTAGCGCTGGGATCGTCTGTAAATGTAATTTCAGCTGATATTGTTTTGATCGTTCACCAGAGGGTCTTAAAAAAAGTTACATTTTCTCACCTGATTGGCCATGTTTATTGTAGTACGGAGTTAGACTGATGGCCTTAATCTAAGTTGCCTTGTGGTCGTTGTTTGACTTGCATCCCACTGGGATTTTTGCACACAGCGTTGGTGTACGGTGCTTTTTCTGGAATATTTTGCTGTTTTTTCCTGGATTTACTGTTTGCGCAGTCACGTAGTCACTTTAAGATGTTTTCTTGGTCATGTTTTTGTTTGTTGCGGTTGCACCCGATTCAAGAGCCGAATGGCTCACAGGGCTATACCAAATAAATGAAATTGAAATAAAACAACCCCCTCAAAATCGCTCAATAACGCTGCCTTCAAAGGAACACGTGAGTTGACGGTTTGACTAATGGTCTTTCGTCATAACACACAGAGACCAAGAGATGTAGTAACCAACAGTCCAAATAATAATTACATTTTTAACGTTGATTGATCAACAGTTATAAATCGCCGTATTAATAGTTTACCTTTTAGTAGAAATTAAGACAAACCCTTGAATCAAAATGTATGACTAAATACAAATAAATTATTTTAAAAGTAAAATGATAAAATGTTGCAGTCACATTCCTTGATGGGTAATCATGTAGTGTCGTATCTTGTGGAAGAGAAACTCATTTTCTGCTCGCGACTCATTCTCGGGCATCAGTTATAATTTCAGTAGAATCAGAGGTTTTAAGAACAATGTTCGGATAGCATTGAGCAGGTATGTGATAATATTGATGAAGATAATTGTTGGATAATGATTAGGTGGTGATGCTCTGATGATCCTTATGATGTGGTGGGAGTGATGGTGTTGGTGGCCATGATGATCATTTCATCACAATCTGGCCTGCTTTAATGATGATGGCCGAGGACTGGCTTACATTAAAAATCAAACATTTAAGTGGGTTTGCGACGATGATTATGATGCTGCTGGTGATCACTTATTCATGTGCTTTTCCCCTTTTGGCTTTTGCTCAACTGTCCTCAAGGTTGTTGAGTGAGATGGCGAACCCTTCGACCTTCCGCTACGTCGAGTCGCCCTGCAAGGACATTGACAATGTCTTGGAGTCCACAACAGATATAGAATACCTCCCCGAACGCAGGCGCCTTTTCCCGGAGTTCTCCGTCATCTCCCCATCGGTGTGTGCACACGCTGTGTAGCTCGTGAGAGTCTCATTCGCTTCACACGCGACTACTAGACCATTCACTGCAGGCCAATTGCGGTCCTGTTTCTAATTTACACCAAACTTACAAAAGATTGGATTAATATTGGGATTTTTTTTGTTAACAATCATACAGTATTCTCCGCTTCACAAGGTCATAAAAAAATGCACATTATGGTGGTAAAGCATTGGTTTCACACCCTGTGGTGTTTGACGCTTGAACGCATACACTACAGGAGCATACGCCGCCAGAAGATGTGGACACCCGGGAGCACCTGCGCGTGTACGCCAGGATCAAGCGAGTTTCCGGCAACAGCAGCGAGGCTATGGAAGAGGTTGGTCAAAGGTTTCCTAGATGCTTGTGGTACCTATTACAAAATGAGATGATGGATGTGGAAAACACAAGCAATGGGGACTTCTTAACAAGGTTTCACAGTAATCGCTTTGTTGTACTCCACCTTTAAATTGTTGACAATTGTGTTCTTAATGCATTGTTTCACACATTGTGTGCTGTTGCAGTCGTGTGTGGTTGTGGAAGGGGATGGAAACCTTCTGCTGCACGTTCCGTCTAAAAACCTCTCCCTGAAGCAGGGGGATCGGATAGAACAGACAATACAACGATTCACCTTCACACAGGTGAGTGCTCCCTGCCAGCAGTTTGGTAGACATGCAAAAGAGAGGTTTCTTGAACCCCACGTTTCCACCAACTTTCTAAAACCGGTTCAAGCATTTTTTATGTCTTTCTATGAAGTCCAAAAACAACCAACGGGATGCGATTGATAAAAAAACAGTCAGGTCACACGATCTACCCATTAAATATTTGTTTCAATATATATATAAAAAAAAATGTTTTGCAGTGGCTTGTTAAACAAAATCATGGCACCGAATTTGAACTTAGCGCGAGATGCCTTTTACAGTGCGTGTCTCTTCCGTGTTTACCCCTTAACCTTAGGCATGTTTCTAAGGGTTGCCCCAGTGATTATCATGTTGTTTTTATCCTGCACATCAGGTATATGGGCCAGAGGTGAGCCAGAAAGAGGTGTTTGATAACACCGTCAGGCCACTCGTGCAAGAATTCCTCCTGGGAAACAACTGCCTCGTGTTCACCTATGGCGTAACTAACTCGGGCAAGACCTACACTGTGCAAGGTACACAGTGGCGGAGATGGTGGATATCGTGTATGTATGTTAAAGTTTTTTTGCACCGTACATAGCCAACGTTACTAATTATGTTATTGGTTCTGCGTAAGTTGCATTAGTGCCGAGTGTACTGTATGCTAAGCCTCTTGATTTTTATATAGCCCATCATTGTATTAGCTTGGAATGGACTAATAATTTCAGGGCTTACGAAGACCACCATAGTGCATTGGTGGCTCAGGGCGTTAATACTTTATCAGAGTACTAAGCCGACACGACATTTTGTGTTAAAATCTTGCTCTCAGCCACCTGTGATTAACGGGTTCTCAAGTGGAGTAAATTGATGGCATCCACCTGGTCAATGACTGCACAAAAAAGACCCATCATGTAAAATGTAGTTTTTTACATTATTCAGCTTTTTCTATCGCTGAAAAGAGGACTATTCGACTGTGCTGAACTTTTCTGTCTTTATCAGTGCATGTTGGAAAGCACATCTTCTAGTGTGTGGATATAAAAGGTGACGTGAAAGAGAATTCAGAATTAGTTTAGTTATTTCCTTCTCTTTCTCCATTTTTGAACATTCGGGACTATGCACTGCTGTGCGCGACTTGCGAATGGGCACATTGTCTCATCGCATGGCTCTGATAGCACAGATTGAATAAAATGAGGCTAGAAGGACAAAGAGAATATAAGGAAAAGGAAAGCAAGTAAGACAAAGTTCCTATTGTATCAGTGTTATTGTGCTCCCCTCCTCCCATGTTATTGTCTGGCTCAGATTATTACTTGTAACTAATTCGAGTTGTTGCCAGAAATCAAACCCAGGTTATCAGGATCATAGCATTATGTGTTCCTCACTGCACCAGCGCTGGAGGGGTGATTCAGATACACGTTGAACCTTAGAAAGTGTTAGGAGACACCACCTGACTGTTCCTCTGCTGTCCCCTGGCAGGCACGGTTAAGGACGGGGGCCTTCTGCCCCGCACCCTGGACCTCCTCTTCAACAGCTTGCAGGGTCACGTGTGCTCAGTGCCTGAGTATAAACCATACCGGAGCTCCGAGGTGCTGCACCTGGACCCGCGTACCATAGTGGAGGAACAGGCGGCGCAGAGCGCGCTCCTCGCGCTCGCTAAGAAGGTAGGAGCCCGAGGGAGAAGGGTCGTTGAAAGCACAAAGGTCAAATGTTGCTTGTTAGATGCTGTCCGGGTGAATTTATATCAAGCTACAGCCTGATTTAGAGTGGAACAACTCATGCTAAACCACCTATGTGATCAATTTCTGTTTGATTGAAGAATCAAAATGTTTAACGAGGCGCTAAATGGTATCCTATCTAATAGCTGCAGGGCTCATGTGAATCAGTTGCATACAATAAGAAATATAAGATTAGTTTACAGCCCTTTGTTATTCCACTGCTAACTGGGGGCCTCCCCCACGCTGTATTGGTCATGGAAATTACCATAAACCACCCTGGTCAGTGTTGGTTGGTGGATGAGGGCCATAGGACCTGTTCAAATATCACTTGCCACTTTAATTAACAAAGCTTCAAAGCTGTGTAGGACAGCTTGGGACACACACAGTACAGGTAGCTAAAATATAAAATCTGTCTTTTTTGGGTTGCATCTTTGTTATAATTTCCAGTTGCTTGTACCTTCCTTTGCAGGCAAACCGCAGCCTTTTAGACTTGGACAAAACCAATGGGAAATCTTTGACGTCCACCGATGGGACATTGCAGGAATCCATCATGTTTGGGGGTAAGTCACCCATGCCTATACTCTCACTGTGAACATGGCAGTGGAGGGAAAGTGCAAACGATTCAGCTGACAGACGTGAGTGTGATTGGAGTAAAATTGGCAAAAAAATTGTCGAGCTCAGAGAAGCTTTTATGAATAAATACATTACAGTTTAATTACTATAATTACTAAAGTGCACGGTTTTAGGAGGGATGTATTTGAATAATCATTACTGTAAAACGCTCTTCCCAGAAAGTGCCTGCTTTCAGGAGGAATGTGTAGGTATCAATCAAAGTGTTCTAAAACCATCCTGCTAAAAGTGTTTGCTCATGTGTCTATTTCAGGACCGTCACAGTCCTTAAACGAACTGGAGAGTCGCAAAGCCATCAGCGACTGCGTTAGCCTTGAGCCGTCGGAAAACGAGCGCATCTACTCTGTGTGGGTGGCATTCTACGAGATCTACAATGAGCTGATTTACGACCTTCTTGACTTTACGCCGGCCACACGCCTGGCCCAGCGCCATATCTTGCACATGGCAGAGGATCAGCACAAGGGCCCCTTCATAAAAGGTACAGGAATGGGGAGAGGTGGCAACCGGGTTGCTCAAAGGTCAGAGCGCTGAGCCGGCACAGCTGAGAGTCTTGGAATGTACGTTTCAGCTGTCTGTGATTAAACAGAGTCAATGGCCTCAGCCTCGTCACACCGATGGCTGCATAAAAAAATAATTACATTAACTTGGTTCTACACTTAACATGGCTAAATTCCAACTTTAGGAATTTATATATTGCTATGACTGTCATGAAACAGACATTAATCTCTGGCAGGGTGGGTGGGAAAGTGCTCACCCATAATGTGTGGACCAGAAGTCACTTGATGGAATCTTTGAAGTACTGTACGTCTGATATCCGCTTCCATGGGATAAAAGTTTGGGATAAAAACTAAAATGTGAGGAGGTGTGGTGGTTCGTTGAGTGGGAATTGTTGGCAGCGTGTGAGGTTTGTAGGTGTACAATTCTTCGTCGAGTTAAAATTGGTCGCTAGGCTTGCAATACACGCATCGAATTGTGCATGGAAGAATCAATAATTTTTCTATTGCAATGTTTTCCATTAGGCTCATGATTGCAACGGATGAAACGTACCAGATGTGATAACGGTATAGACGAAATATTAGATGGGCAGCTCAGACTACAAATGAGACTGTACGTATGAGACTGAGAAAACGAGTTGCTCATAATTGATTACCGGTGGTGTGTGCATCTGCAGATATCAAGTGGGTTCAAGTGCACAATGTCATTGAGGTGCTGACCCTTCTAAATGCCGGCCGGAAGAACCAGAGTTTCGCCTCCACCAAGCTCAACCTCAACTCTAGCCGGAGGTACTGTGTGTAATTCTGTGGGAGGGTGAAAAATGAAAATAATACTCAATCCTATTGCTCAGATTATTGAGTCTCAAGACTCCTTCATGAGGGTTCTTTTGTTGTGATGTTTGGTCAGATAGACGAATGAGAGTTTGATTTTGAAGGAGGAAACAAAAGATCCTGGAGAACACCAACACGTATGAGGGGGTATCTTCTCCAAGCTCTACACATTTAATATCTATTGCTATTCTGCCATCTCCTGGCTAGCTTTTAGCCCAAGGCTACAGTACCTGGTATTCTACTGGACATAAGTGAAAAAGAGCTTCATAGCTCATCGGGTTCCTCCAGTATGAATACAGATTCTGATTTTGATCTTGAATCCCAGGTAATCTTATCTAGGATTTTATATAGCACTTTTGTAATCTCCCATTCAAGTACAAACCAGGCTCGCCCTGCTTATCTTCTGAGATGCGACAACATGAAATGCATTGAGGATGATTTGGAGGCCTACCCTGTAGTTTTTTTTCAAGTTGTGTCGGTCGCATGTGAATTCATTTATGAAGTGGGTCATTGTCATGGGGGAATTTCTGAACTAGTTTGATAGCTGAGTGGGCAACGGAACACCCGTGTGGGGTCATGTGTTAACGGGCGACTCTTTGTATTTCCACATTTTGTTTACAGCCACAGCATCTTCACTATCCGACTCATTCGGCTGGAGAAGGGAGCTAAGCCGGAGGTCACCGCAATAAACGAGTGAGTGTTTATTGATACAGGGAAAAATGTTCAATGAAGGTGATGGTAGCAATGATGAAAAATTACATTGAATTACAAATAAGCATTCTTGCTGCTATTGTCTTCCAGGTTATATTCGTCCTTAAAGGGTTCAGCTCTTTTTGTGTATTTAGCAATTGTGTAATATTAAAAAAACTAATAATTTAAGCCCTTTATCAGTCCACCGCTGTATGACGGCCTCCCATGTGTTCTTGGGTCATGAGGGTTGTTTTACTTAAAAATTCTGGTCAATGCAATTTGGTGAAGGGGGGAGGGGGCATTTGCCCCTGATGTTAGCCATACTTGGGTCGTTGAGTTCTTGGAGGATGTCCTCTCGGATGCATCCCATTATTTCGCTGTCACTTCCATCATTATTCCTGACCATCGACCGTCATCCGTTAAAGCGATGCGTCCTTCCCAAGCTCACCTTCTGTTCTAAACAGTTTGTTACGTATTTAACCTGTGTTCCCCGTATGCATGTGTTTGCTTTCTCTCTGTCTCTCGATGTAAATGTACACTTTGCCTTCATATAAAAAAGTGACGTTGGCATGCTAACGGCGGGCGTGAAATGCCACAGGTTCTCGATCTGCGATCTGGCTGGCTCGGAGCGGTCAAGCCGCACGCATAACGTGGCCGACCGGCTGCAGGAGGCGTGCAACATCAACACGTCGCTCCTCGCGCTCGGCAAGTGCATCACGGCGTTGCGCTTCAACCAACAGGCCAACAGGTGAGCTCTGCACACGCCCCACGTCTAATAAAGCTCCCGTGGGTTGTGTGCTTTTTTTATTTGTATGTGTATCTATCTTTGTTCGGAGAACTGCCGAAGACCGCTTCACCAGTTTCAATTAATACGGGTTTATTTGTGAAAATAAAATGAAATTGATCAGAGGCAGTGCAGCACATTGAGACCTTATTCTGTAATTAAAAACTACTAACATGCATTTAATATTGTGGTTCCTAGCTGCAGATTGGTATTCCACCAAGAACGAAATACAATGGTCTCCCAATGATATTATTGTGCCATTGGTGTTATTTACGAGACAATGACAATCCCATTCAGAACTCTGTCAGGAAATAGTGCATCACCTGATGACTCTCGTAACAAATCTGTAGTCTAAAGTTGCATTGCTATTAGGAACTTGATCATAGGGTTGCCTAACAATTGGTGATAAAATAGCAGAACAAAAAGAAAATGTTCAAATGAGTGCATTTTTCCCTTTGGCTTCCATACTGCTAATTACTTCCGAAGACAAACATGTTGACAAGCGTTACATAATCCATGTGTGTGCGCGATTTTTCCTCATTTGTTTCTTAACGATCGAAACTTACAATTCGTGTTGAGCAAATGTTTTTGTCGAACAGAGAGATACACAGACGCACAGACTAATGCCGTGCATGTTGCGTGCATTGTGCGAACGCAGGCTGAACAGCCGTGTGGTGCCGTTCAGGGAGAGCAAACTTACACGGCTCTTCCAAGTCTACCTCTTGGGCAGGGGCAAAACATGCATGGTGGTCAACATCAACCCCAGCACCTCCTGGTACACGGAGAACCTCAACGTGCTGCGCTTTTCCGCAATCGCCAAACAGGTGAAGTCGCACCGTGGCTTGCACACGCATGCACGCGGTTGTACACGCCCGCACGCGTACACGCACATAATACAGGCACGCACGCATAGACATATCCACGTGCACGTACCCGTACACACAATAGGCACGCGCATGCCCATATACAGACACATGTGCATGCAGATAATTACACGCATGCGTTCACGCATGTACCCACATACACTCACACAACATTCTCAATTGAAAAAGATGTTACATTGGATGAATTCCTTGATCATTATTGATGCAGTTGCTTTTGTACTATATCATATTCTGTGGCAAAAATGTATATTCCTGGAACTTTGGATAGTTTTTACACCCATACAGTGTTCATCTTCTTTGGTTCTTTCGGTAAAGTCACGTAGAATGAGAATAAAATAATAAATTGATAAAATAAAATAACACAATTATTTTATTTTATCAATTTATTATTTTATTCTCATTCTACGTGACTTTACCGAAAGAACCAAAGAAGATGAATCATTGCAGTCACGAAAGCTTTAAATCGAAATTTAAACCATACAGTGTTGTTGTTTATCATTGATTTGTTTATTCTAAATGTATTGATAATGTTTAATGGTCATTGCTTAATGTTTGTGTTGATACCAGATGTGCAATGTTAGATGTTTCAACGATTTGTTTGCATGTTAATTGTTTTGTGACCCAATTCTTCCTTGATAAAATTACGTATATTACTCATGCGAATAATATATGTATTACGTGCAGTGGCATCTGTAGTTCATGACAAAGCTCAGGTGCAGCTGGCGCCTAGACAGAAGATAATGAATAAACTAGATTGTGTTTCCATCCGAAACAGCTGTGACCTTCTCCATATCCGTATCTCAACTAAAAGCAATACCCATCTCATTAGGATGCAGCGTGAAGAATTGCTGACTGACCTGAATTCCTTGCTGGTTCCTGACTTTAACATGTGATTTATTTACCCCGGAAAGCCTCTGAGTCTCATTTCTCTTTTTTTTTTCAAATGGGCCCTGCTTTGGGATGTTTGGCTTCTTTTTTAAGGATCACGTTTTGTGTGTGCAACCTGGAAGAATTTGGAGATTACCCACCTCGTACGTAAAAGGCTAACGCTCAAAATTCCGCACGCATGGGTTTTCACGAACCCACTGGCTATATTCTGCCAGCTCCTGGCCAGCAAGATTAGGGATTTCACATCTGCGTGCGAACCACAAACCGTCTGCTTCAAGCGCCGGATGACACGGGTGTACAACAGCCAACAACCCAGTGGGCGTCAATTCGGCGCGGGTAGGCATTAACGACCTTCAATTAATGTCCCGCTTGTTCCTGCGGTGTGAATTTCCTGTCTCATTCCCTCCCGCAGGTGCTGACGCACTTTCCGGATCGTCTGGGGAAACGCACACAAGCCGATTGCTCCAGCATGATCGTTTCAGCCGATGGCGCTGTCGTCCCCGAGAAGCGGGCCAGGGCGGGCGCCAGTCGCACGGCGTCAGTTGCGTGCAGTCGTGCCACCATTGCCAAACTGGTGGCGGCCGCCGGTGCTGCCACCGCTAACGCGGCCGTGAAGCCCATCCAGGAGGCTGGCGGCGAGGCAGAAGGAACCGACAGCGTCGTCGATGAAAACTGCAGTGAAGTCAATTTGGATGAGAATGATGTACGTTGGCAACACTCATCACGTTGAAGACTTTATATAAACGGATTCGGTGGAAAATTCTAACAATTAGGAATGTTTAACCCCCCACCCTCTATCCAGCCATTGGATGAATTTTCATTATTCGCTTGTAACGTGCACGGTGTTCGCTCGCTTCCGAAGAGAGCGAACGACTTGCAGGCGTGAGTAACTGCTGATCAGAGTCACCCCCCAGACTCTGCTCCTATACTTGAAGGTGTCTTCGGCCAATTAATGTTTCTGTACATGTCGGAGGAAACCAGAGCACCTGGACAAAGTTCACACGAGTGAAGGGGCAAAACACTGTTGTGCAGATTGAATAGATGTAGATTAGTCATCACTTGTTGCACTGCCATATCCTTGCAAGCCAGGGTATGCCAACCTCGACACTCACGGGAAGGGAGTTTCACGACATTTGTGTGATCCAACAGCCCTCGCCTCCACGGTGGTGGATTACAGGCGTGCACTGCTATAGGTTGTTAGTGTTTTGTAATGTTTTAACTTTTGTTGATATTATAATATGTCTGCGTACATGGTGAATTCTCAACCATCAGCCAATGGCCTGCCTCCAGAGTAGAGAGATATTGACTGACTCACATTTGTAGATCTCACTGTACACTGTTGTGCCCTATTTTAAACATTTGACAAACACTTTTCAAATGAGATGTGAACAATTTTTTCCATTAACAGCTTTTGAGCAGCAAACAAGCCCTCAGACACCGTGTCATGTATATCACGTAACATCACCATACTGTGTTTTATATATCCGTACAAAAATCAGTCAATTATATAAATTGTTTAGTCAATCAGTAGGAGAATGACACTACTGCATACCGTTTTTTTCCTTGTTAGGAATCATTATAACAGTAGAGCCATCATTGCATAATGCTGCCTTGTGCCATAGTGGCTTTATGTGAAAAAGCCCTACCTCAAAACTTTTGGGTCATCTTGGCACTGCCTGAAGGGGTCAATGAAACCCTCAGACAGATGACTATGGCCAGACAAAGTAATGTAAAGTAAAATGCGAATATGTTTTTTAGACTGCGGAACTCGTAGATGACAGAAAAGGTGTGACTACATATACATAACACTGCGTGCTTATAAGGGGTTGTTAATGTGAAATGTGCCGGGTGATGTTTGCTTGTGCATCACTGCTAGTGCTTTGCCCTTAATGTATGTGTTTTCTTACTGTGGCAGGATCAGGAGATGGAGGTGGATCGGCTGAAAGAAGAGTTGAGGAAGGAACGTGAGGACAGGAAACTGGACGAGTGGAGGATTCGTGGGGAGATCTCCAGTCACCTCGAATACCTTGACAACCTGGATGAACAACAGAGGTTTGCTATTATTAGGCATGCGATGATACGTTTACTCCTCGCCCAAAGATGTGACAAGTTATCACCACTTTGGGTTGACTATGAGACGATTTTTTTGCCTTGTATTGTTGGTGTAATTTTTTTCCAAAGCAAATATTTTGCAGATATGTTGCACAAATCATAAACAATTGATCAATCGATCCATCCAGGCATCTTGATGAGTTGCATTGAATTATTTTCATTTTTCAAACCCAGAAAGTCACACTTGCAAGTACAGTGTAAGTGACTGCGAAAACCTCTGCTGAATCACTCCATTGTCACAAGCCTAGCCGCAAAAGCTTCCCAAAATCAACAGGAATTAGGGACGTTTGACTCTGCCAACCCTTGTGTTTATGCGTGCGTGCACTGGCAGGAAGAACAACGAGCGCACGTACGAGCACATGGAGGATATCTGGGAGAGGCGGACCAAGCTGCTGGAGGAGACGTGGAAGCGGTACCATGAGAGGGAGATGCGCGAACTGCAGGAGACGTTCAAGGCTGACAAGGACCTGGTGCCGATAGAGCGGCTGGAAGCCGAGACGGAGAAGCTGAGGGTGAGCACATTGGAGCAGGCAATGGCGACGATCGTCTTTCTGCCGTGAGGGGAGACTCGCCGAACTTTCCTCAGTGAGACTTTCAGTGAGGGGTTGGGTAAACGAGTTTAATCTTACGCCTCTTAGTCGTCATCGCGTGCTTTAATCTGTCTACGGCTGTATGAAGGTTGGTTTCTGGTGGGTGTTTCCTCCATTGACTTCCGCTCTTTCATTGGTCTCGACCACCCGGAACATCGTACGTCTGAGCATTGTCTTGTCCAAACCCACTTAAATTTCTTCAAAAGAATTTCTTTAGAACTGCTTTTTGTGTTTGTTATCCTTCTCCCGCACCTCCGACTAGCATGGTTGGCTATGTATGGTGTGAAAGAAGTTGAGCGTACATACACATACACACATGTTGTTGGTTGCCTTGAGGCGGTGGTGCTGCTCAGCCCTCGCCTGCTCCCTCAGTGGGGCGACCGGCATGCACGCTCGTGTGTGGTGTCATGACGTCACAACGTTTATACATGGGACAAGTAATCTACCTCTTGTCTCCAGGTTTCTTATCTGTCATTTAACTTGCTTTCATATCACTAAACCTTATATCTTGTCTACATCTCTCTTATCTCTGTTTCTTTTTTGTTTCCCTTTCATCTCACTACTCTGCATCTCTTGGCGGGTTTTTGAAAGTATGATGTGGCACGTAGGCCACAAGTTAATGGACCTCTGCTGTAGGTGGTTCTTCAGCTATCAAAGAATCTCATTAAATCAAATGAGTTTTCCTGTATCTTCACAATCCTTAGATTCCAAACCACCCCATTCACGTGGCCAGCCCTTCTTGCCCCGTGACTCAATCTCAAACCCACGCGCCCCTCACCCTTCTCCTCGGCACTGCAGGAGAAGGCGGAGCTCGCCGAGCAGCAGGCGAAGCGAATCCTAGAGCTGGAGGCGACCCTGGTGGGCCTACAGCAGGACGTGAGGGCCCTGCGGGAGGCGGGCGAGGAATCGCGCCGGCAGCTGGAGCTGCTGCCCGATTCTCCGGTGGGGTGTAACATTAGTGCTATTCTGTTCTCCTGAATATAAGATTATGCGTCTTTTCCCAGATATTTTGATTGGGAGTGCACCAAAAGTTAGTGGTACACCTTATATGTGTGTGTGTGACCATATTTGTCAAACTTTAATGGCACTGGATGCAAGTTAGCACTGTGTCTTCCCTTCCGGAGTGTCTTATAAGCTATATGATACTGAATTTTCCTGATTATATGAATTTTGCATTGTGTATAATTGGGTATGCTTGCCTCGCCCGCACATGCTCGCGCAGGTGTTGAAGGCACAGAGAATGGACCTTGGGACACTGAAAGAGGCCAACCGCGAGCTCAAGGTGACCCTGGAGGAGGCCGGGGAGACCTTTGAAAAGAACCGCAAGGAGATTAAGAGCTTGAAGCAGCGCAGCGTGAAGCTAGAAGAGGAGCTTTCCACAAAGGTAGATAGCAAGGCTCTGCCGCTGTCCATTGGGTTTTCCATCATTTGTACAGTTCACTCCATTATCTGTGGGTGGGTTTTCCAGGCTGTGGATTATATCTGTGTTTATGGAAAAAATCTATTAATATTTCTACATGCGTGCTAGTTTAATTATTAGCTGCTTCTCATGTTTTGGGGCTCTAACTCGGTGTCCATGTCACCACAAATGCATTGGCTACAATTCCTTGTGCTGAATTGTGACGGTTTTCCCATTGTCCTAACCCCCTGACCTAGGACCTTCTGATCGAGGAGCTGCGCGTGTCGCTGGCCAGCAGGGACAAGCAGCTGAGCTCCAAGCTCTCCGAGCTAGCGTCGTTGAAGGCCACCGAGAAGCAGCTGAGGGGTGAGCTCACGCGAGCCATGAAACGCTCATCCAACTTCATGCAGGGACTTGCCTCAGAATGCTCACAGCCACCAGCTAAGAGAGGTAACACGGCGGCTAGCGGAGGCACTGCCGCGTCGCTCGCCAAGGCGACATCACTGACCATCCGCCCGGCGGCGAAAGGGTTGGCGTTGATGGCGCCGACGGCGCCGACTGCGAAGATGCCTCGCAGCCTGGTTCGGTTGCGGTCTCAGGCAGCGCATGCAATCACGGACAACGCGTACGCCCGTATCCTGCGATCGCGCACAAGGAAGAATGCTGACGGCACAACGGCACGACCAAATTGGGTGTGAACGCACTATCTGGCTGCTGCTGCTGCGGCAGATCCTGCCCGCTGCCGCCACCGCCGACGTTGCTGCTGGTGGTTATGTGGCTGTGCTTTGCAAATCATTTGACCGTTTGGGTCGAGGCACTTTCACCAATAGAATTGAATTGTCGCTGGTCTTCAGTCGAGTCCTTTAACTTATTTCATTTTTGTGCCCGTTCCGATTTAACCCGATTGTGCTGTCAAATTCGTTCAGAGGTGTTCACAGCAGCACACAACCCCATGTTAGAGAACATCCCACGAAAGGAGATCTCACGGAAAATTTCACTGAACGACTGAGATCCCTTCAAGTGAACTATTTTATTCACATCACAGGATGCTGCACCATCCCATATGCCCTGCGAAATATACATTTGTCATATTGCAGTCAGACCAATATTTTGAATTCTCAGTGAGAATTGAAATGAAATTTTTGATTTCGTTTTATTTTTGTTGTGCAATCATCGGTGACCACGCTGGGACATTCAACTCGCCTTGTTTTAATCACACGCAGTTGAGACCTGGATTTGAACCCAGGGTTCTAATCCATGGTGGTTAAGGGTCTGGATCCCTACCCGGCCATCGCTCTTCAGGAGAGTTTTACAGTTGCTGACCTCGAGTTATTTTACGCTATCTTGCCATCACGGTGTGGATGGGACGGATATTTAGAGATTATTCATTCCAGGCTGATGTTTTTTTTATAGGCATTTTTTGCGTGCATAGTGTGAAATGCCGTGTGAGCATTGTAACGATTCTACAGTCATATGATCAATTGTTAGAATTTGGGGTCATGATTTTATTTCAATACTCGCTTTATTTTCAGTAAAAAAAGTGGTTTGCTCTGTTAGCCTCGGCGTATTACTTTAAATATCAAATCGATTTCTACACGCTCACTTCAATGCCTGCTTCGTGTGCGTAAAATCACTCATTCAAATTTATAGAATTGTTACATGCCACGTGTGTTTAATGTCTAAGCTATAAAATGTGCAGAGCATTGTATTATTTAGTGTTGCTATATTGTTAGTAGAATTTCAAAGATGGAAACAAAATTGCGTTTTAAGCCGGGTCAGTGTTGTTAACCATTTTGGAGTTATTTTATGCCAAAGGAATACTGTTACACTAATAAAACCTGGCTTTTCTTGTTGGGCTTGCATCTAGGAATGGTGCTTTGAATATTACTTGGATGAGCAGCACTGTATACGACTGTGATGACGTGAGGGGGGTATTACAAGGTGCACGGGAATTCCTTAGAATACCAGCACACATGATGTGTAGCTTTTTGCAGCCAGAAGAGTATTTTCTGTGCTGCAGGCAGTAGTCTGCGAAAATAAAAACAGCTGTTATCTTGTAGTCACAAACCATCCCCCCCCCGCCCCGTTAGGTTGTGTGTCCTGGAGGCTGTCCATCTTATGTTTGAAGCTTTGGTAATGAGAAATAGTGACTTTCAGGAGCATCATCCTAACGTTGTGATGACATTCAATGCATTGACAAAGTAATATGTACCAGAGTGACGTTACAGGTATTGGATTTTTCAATCTATGATTCTAATGGAAATGCCAATTTATTTGATTACACATTTTTAAACTGACAGGCAGAATAAAAATGTATACGACCCTCCCAAAAATGACCCTGCTCTCGTGATCAGGGTAACAATTTAAACAATTTATGTTTGGTTGAATAAATGCATTAGGCTGCGGTGAATAAGCTACAATGGGTACATTCCTTCCAATCAGTTATAACCAGGATGCTATTGTGAATCAAATGCATGGATCACAGAAGACAATGACCACTTTGTTTATTTTTTATTAAAGATAATTCATACTGATTTGGAAAATGATATGTTAGTTAAGTTATACGCACATTGATTTGCATAGGCTGAGTTATTTCTCTTATTAACAAAAAGATAGTGGCATCGCATGCCCTATAATGATGATGCACTTGTCCATAACCTAAAAAAAAGTAATTTATGGAAGCTTGAAACCAGTTTTGGAAAGTCTGATACACAACCGCCAAAGTACTTATCTATAAGATAAAGGTTGTTTGTTCTTTGGTTTGCCCCTTTTCTTATGAGTCCTTTATCAAGGTCCTAACAGTATACAACTCACGCCTTGAGCCAAGTAAGAGGCGTCTTGATGTTTTCCTGAACGGCAGCCAGGCAGTCACTCTTCAGCCTGCTAATAGAGACATCGTGTGTCTTAATGTTCCAAGGTCTTGACAGATTCGCTATTACATTTTTACTTAACTTTCGTGACTGCAGGAATTTATATTATTTGGTTCTTTCGGTAAAGTCACGTAGATAGATCGAAAAAAAAGAACAAAAGTCGTATTTTTTTAAATCTACGTGACTTTACCGAAAGAACCAACGAATAAGATTCACTCTTAGTTTTTGCATAAGCCTGCCCTTACCATCACTCCTGTAGCAAACCAAACATCTATTTAGTTTTGTATTCATCCCTGGTGGGTTGTATGATTGGTTGGATGGTGGAATGGTAGGATTGTTTGGTTGGTCTTGTGGCTGGTTGGTTGGTGGTTGTTTAGTTTGTTTATGATTTGCTTGGTTTCTTGTATGGGTTGGTTGTATGTTTATGTTCTAGATTTAAAGCTTTCGTGACTGCAAGGATCCATACTTTCTGGTTCTATTGGGTAAAGTCACGTAGGTAAAAAATAAAATAACAAAAATCACGACGTTTCGGCCACAACACAAGCGGCCTTCATCAGGTGAAGGGACGAGACTGTCTGGAGGACAGCGCTGGAGTGAAAAAAAGGTCGTGATCTGAGCGTGGCTTTTTTCACTCCAGCGCTGTCCTCCAGACAGTCTCGTCCCTTCACCTGATGAAGGCCGCTTGTGTTGTGGCCGAAACGCCGTGATTTTTGTTATTTTATTTTTTACCTACGTGACTTTACCCAATAGAACCGGAGAGTATGTATGTTTATGGTTGTTGTATGGTTAATTGATTTGTGTTTTTTTATTGTATAATTAATCGTATGGCTGGTTGATTGCATGGTTGGTTATTTCATGGAGGGTAGGGCAATTTCGGAATTTTTTTTGCTGCAGACTCCCACTTGTAGGCAAATCCAGACGGGGGTTACGTTGTTTTTTTAGCATTGCAAAAGTTATCGTAAAAAAAATCAAAATGGCTCACCACCTTCACTTCAACTTTTATAACGCTTTTCGCATTTTGTGTATATTTGAATAAACATTAAAGTCTAGTGCTTGGTAGACAACATTTTGTGTGGATTCTGTCAGTGCACTCTATTTTTAAAAGTTGCTGCCAAGCGTTAGGTGAGCGACACTTTGTAGGCATTTAACGTTTCATTCCCTCTTGCACTTGGACGAAATATCACGATTTGGAGGGGGTAACAATTCGATTAAAGAATTAACATTGTCAATGTAACAGTCTATCGTGTATACAGAGGTCATTGCGTACAAAATATAAAGATTGAAAATAAAATTTTTACATGAACAATTTGATATGTGCGCTGTGAGCCTAAGAATCTATCTGAATTAATGAATCGGTGTATCTTTAAAAGTCCAATCTAGCATCAGTTTGACGTGCAGTATTGGGGAGATATATCCGTAGACGAACTTATGTTTTCCCATTTTTGCTGGCCCTCCACTATTTGGCATTATAGCCTGTCTTTTATTTGTAAAAAAATGCATCTCCATTTCTCAAACGCAACGTTGACTTGGACTGCCATTTCTGCCCATCTCTCTGCGTAGGGCCAGCATTTGGGAAAACACAAGCGCAGGCCACGCCGTCGAAACCCCAGTGGCAGGGAGATCTTTCCACGAACCGCACGCACATCCCAAAATCCCTCCCGGCGATCCGCCCGCTCACCCAGCGCTCTCACGGAAATGTGCACCAATGTGGGAGCGCCTTCGAAAATACCCAAAACGTCAGTCCGCGGTTGGCGCAAGTACTACGCGAGGTTCAGCTACAGAGCGCCAACAAGAGAGGCGGCGCTCCGGGTTCCGAGCCTGCGGGCTGTGACGACGTTTGCCTGAGCGAAGCGCTTGGTGACGCGGAACGGGCACGCGCGGAGCTGCGAGAGGCGTTGGAGAAAGCGTCTCGTCTGCACGCTGAGAATTCGGAGCTGCTAGCGCGGTGCGGGCAACAGGAGGAGCACAAGCAACGGCTGGAGAGCGACCTCGCCGCACTGAGAGAGACGCTGGGGAAGCGCGGCGTGGACGAGAGGCTCTGTGATGCCGAGGCGAAGACAAACCCCGCCGGTGCCCGGGTGAGCCAAGAGCTGCACCGCACCAAGCGCGAGCTACTGGAGGTGATGCGTACCCTGTCGAGCAAGAACAAGGAGCTGGAAGCGGTGCAAGCCGACCTGGAGGAGGTTGGTATCCTCAAAGCGCAGAACGGGCAGCTGGCGGCCGAGTGCGCGCTGCAGGCGGTCACTCTGTGCGAGCAGGCGCAGGCGCTGGTTGCGTTGGACCGCAGGCTGGAGGGGAGCTGCGCCGAGCTGCGCGAGAAGACGGCGACTCTGAGCGCCACCGAGGGCGCCGTCGCGGGTTTGCAGGCCGAGCTGGCGGAGTCGCGGCGGGAGCTGCGCGAGGAGAGGGACCGACTGGAGGTGGCACGTGACGCGGCCGAGCGGGAGGCGTCGTCGTCGAGGAGGGACCTCGCGGAGGTCAAGGCGGAGCTCGCCGACCTCCTCGCACAACTCGGAGACGCCAGACGGGAGGCGGCGGAGAAAATCGCCGAGCTGGAGGAGGCGCGGGTGCGGCTCGCGGAACTGGGGCAGCTCAAGACCCAGAACGAGGAGCTCTTTAACAAGTCCATGCATCAAGCGGACACCCTCAAGGAGGTTACGGAAGACTGCGAGAACCTCAGGAAGGAGCTTGAGCAATGCCTCAAGGTGCTGCGAGACAAGAGAGGGGAGGCCGACGAGAGGACGGAGGATAATGACTCGAAGGCGGCACAGACGAAGGCTGGGGCTGAACTGGCGGAGACCAGGAGTAAGCTGGCTGAGACGAGGCAGGAGCTGGAGAGAGCAACCAAGAAGTATGAAGAGGCCCAGAAAGAACTGGCCGATGTGAGGGCGTGTGCCAACAGCGGCTCCGGCGCCGGAAACTTCCACCGCACGATGGCGGCACTGGAAGAGCGGTGTGAGCGGATGGCTGGTCAGTCCGACGAGTCGGAGAGCGGTGTGGGGACGCCGCGGGCCGAGGCGCCCGAGCGGGAGGTGAAGCGTCTGCGGGAGCTGCTCGCCGAGCACGAGGCGGCGAGCGCCGAGGCGAAGGCTCGTGAGACCCGGCTGCGGCGCGAGGCGCACATGGCACAGGACGCGCTCAAGGCCGCAAACCGCCTCATGGGCGAGTGGGAGGCCAAGCTGTCCGTGTCGAAGGTGGCGACGGCGAGCGGGCAGGACGGGGCCGACCGCCGGTGCGCGCCGGAGCGAACGCTCGTGGAGAAGGAGGAGCCGGAGTCGGTGGCGCTGGCCGAGATCGCGGCGCTCGAGCGGGGCGCAGCCGAGAAGGAGGCTGAGGCGAGTGGGCGGAGGGTTGAGGGGGCGGAGGGTCGAGTGCGCGCCGTCCCGGCGAGGGAGGAAGCATCGGCGCCGGTTGCGGGGACCGACGGTCAAAACCGCGGGCCGATCGGCGCGTCGCAAGCTACCCGGGCGGCGGACGTGGAGCGCTTGGAGGCGACCGTGGCCGAACTCGCGGTGGAGAAAGAGAAGTTGTTCTTCGAGCTGTCCGCCCTGAGGGAGGCGAACGGCGCCCTGTGCCAGGAGCTGCAGGTGTGCGAAGAAACGATGAGGACACTGGAGAGCCGGCTGGGCACGGAGGAGACGGCGGAAAGGCGGGCGGAGCGTGCACGTGCCGAGAAGGCGGCGCTGGAGGAGGAGCTCGCGAGGTATGTACACGCCGTGCCGCCTACACGGAGATGCGCGCTGCACTAGGAAGACGACCAGCGTTGACCTTATAGCTGCACACCTTGGCTGTCCCTGAAGCTTCGTTGGTGACGAAAATACTTAAAAAATTACTTTTATGGTGACTGCATGGGATGAGTGGACTCAAGGGGAGAACATAAACCAGGTGTGGTGGCCACGGCTATTTGATATCCCCCCAATTGTATCCCGATTTAGGTTATTGGCTTCATGTCATGAGACGAAGAATCCATTTGGATGTCTTGCAGAGCAGTAACAACCATATGTTAACAGCCCAAGGAAGTGGATATCATATAACTCTGAGATCTCTTTAAGCGACTTCTGGTCCACACAGTTGAGCGCAGTAGTTCCCAATAATTCTGCATAACAATAAAGTGAACATTTAAATTCTCAGAGCTTGAATTTAGCAAAATTAAGTGCAGAACTATATTTAGTGTGGTGGCTTTTGTGTGCAGCCATTGGTGATTGGGCTGTGTTGATTAACTCATTACACCTGAGTACTCGGTTTAATCACAGCTCGGTCTATGCGAGTCCGGGTCTTTATCTTATAATAGCGCCATTTCCCAGGGCGCTTTACAGCGATAAGAATTTTACATAATATAGTGGTTTGAGATGAAGAATGGGGTGACTAAAAGTAGTGGTGTAATTTTAGTAACAATAGCACAGGTGTGAGTGTTAAGGAGGGATTTTGGTCGGCCTGATCTTAGCTTGGGGGCGACGGAAATCTGGGGGGCAGGAAAGTGTTGAGGCATCGCATTGGGAAGACTGGGTTTCTCCAAGTCGATGGGTGTATGTTCAAGTTATCAGAACCCGGGGCTGGGACCATAAACCCACTACACTTGGGAACTTGATTTAATCACAGGCAGTTGGCTGATACTTAGATTCGAAGCCAGGATTTAATCAGAGGCTCCCTTAAGGGATTTGACTTGCAGCTCGTGTGTATTTCTCCTCTTGATTGCCTACTGCTGCTACCCCTTGGCAGCGTGCGTGCCAAACTGCGTGGGGCAGCGGAGGAGAGCGACGATCTCCGGGAGAAGCTATCGGACGTGCGGAGGCAGATGCAGCACGTCGAGAAGGAGGTAACGGCTTGGGCAAAATTTAGTACTGCCTAAGGATGGCAAATATTTAGTGATGCCAGTTTCCGTATGTGTCAAATTTAAGTGGACAATGTGAGAACGTGCTGACTATAACTAGATTATTGCATTATTCACATTAATTTGCAATTTTTAAAGATGTTGATACAACTCACGTGTTGCCTTCTCAGGTTGTACCACCAATTAATACATTTGGATCTCATCCATGGACTGAGAAGTGCACAGATATTTCACCTGAACCGCCAAGTGCAAGATTCGATGAATTGTCATAATTCTGAGTCCACACACAAGGGGGCAGCGCTTTCCCACCCACCCTGCCACCGAGAGTAATGTTCATCACATGACGGTCAAACCGAAATTATTAATTTCGAGAGCCAGAATTTAGCCAGGATAAGCACAGAACCAAATTTGATGCGATGGGTTTTTTTGTGTGTGCAGTCATAGGTGACCGGGCTGAGAACCATCAGCTCGCTACGCGGTTTCAATCACAGGCGGCTCCAGAATTGTCATTGGTGCCAAGTAGCGCTCCAACCTCTGTGCCACCTTGGCCACCTCACACCCGCGCAATCGCACACCCACACACTCTCTCGCACACCTGCACGCCCACACGCGTTCACATTGGCGCTGTCACGCATGTCCGCTGTAACGCCCACGCCGCGTGTACAGATGGAGATGGCCCGTGCGGAGAAGGAGCGATCCGCCCGCCTGGAACAGGAGCTTGAGAAGGTGCGCACACAGGGGGCGCAGTGCATGGCCGGCAGGGATCGGCAGCTGCAGGTGCTGCGCCGGGTAAGCGGTGCCAGACTGGGTTCACATCAGGGGTGCTAGATGCCATTAAATTGGTAAATATTTCAATGATGTCAACCCACGTCCCATAGCGTTGAGTCGGGTTCGTGTTTTGTGCTGCCCCCCCACCCCCCCGAATACCATGGAAATGCATGGCCAGTGCTAGTCAGTAAAAAACATAAACATTCAGAGAAAATGCTTTTACTTATTTTTATATGTCTGTAAATAACTGTATGAACAGAGAAGCAAAGGTATCGAGTCATCGGCCGTGTAAATAATATCGGCCTAAAGTTTCGCGAGCTTAGGTGATGCCGATTTCAACTCTGGCCGACGTCCTGACAAAGCACGCGGGCCGCCTCGCGTGCGTGTGCGTGCACTGCAAGCCACGTGCTCTAGGTGGCGATGGAGGCTGCACATTTTTTGACAGGATTGCTGCCACCATTTAGCACGTTAAAACATTTCTTGTTTAAGAATTAGCTAAAGTTTAAATGTATAAACTCCAAACTATGAACATCCCTCGTTTATATCCATGCCAGGGTACATGATGCCCGGATGATTACAACCCAGACTTTGCGTGTATCTCCAGGCCAGGAATATGAAATGGTATTTGATATTAAACTAGATGTGCACATCATTGTATGGGATCCAGTACACGTGGGACAAGACTAAGTACCTACTTGGGTATTTGGAACCAGGCATGGTACAGGGAATTGTATTATTGAATATGCCAGGTTATGCATCTTTAGGCTGTATACATGCCAGGATATGTGGTACCAGGCTAGGTGCACACCAGAATGTGGTGCCAGGCTAGGTACATGCCAGAATGTGTCCGGGGGCTGGGGACATGCTAGGTACATATCGGGGCGTGGGTGCTGGGTTAGTGCATCTAGGCTGCGTAGATGCCAGGATAGGTGCTTCTGATAGGGTAAACAGCATATTTTGTTGTCATCGTGGCAGGAACTGCAGCAGGAGCGGGAGAAGAGCCCTTCTCCCCAAGCCGCCGCCACCGTCGTCGCCGCCCGTGTCGAGAAACGTGACGACTTGGTGAGAACCCACGTGCCAGCATTCGTCACCTTTAGCGCCCTCACCACCCCCCTCCTCGCTGCCAGCATTGCCAGCAATGCCACCAACTCGTCAAGGGAAAAAAAGTTGCCAAACCAACCTGAGAAGATCACGTGTTAGAGTATTTGGCTGCTATGCATTTCCACGTGATGATAAATGATAAGCCACTTCGTTGAGCTATCATTTGTGATAGCCAGGTCGCTTCTGAAAAAAAAGTTATATAGCTCAGTGGGGCTTACCTGGTGAAAGAAATGAATAGTTAGTTTAGTTTAGATGTCAGTAGATCAGTGGGTTCACTCGAGCCTTTCAAGGGGGGGGGGGGCCCTTGGGCTGCGGTGAGACGTACGCGCATGGGAAGTCTGGAACGTGAGTGTGCGATGTCAGCGGAGGCAGCGCGTTGCTGTTAACAAATCACTTAGACGTCTCTCTTCCACCGCCAAACCGGGAGGTGGGCTTTGCCGCTGCAGAAGCCGAGCCGTGCCGCCGACGTCGCATGCGGTTCACGTGTTGAGGCGCGTGTTGGCGGTGTGCACGTGGGCGTGGGAACAGTTGGTCTTGATTGGGTATAGCCATACCGAAAGGTGCTGAGAACCACCACTGTATTCGGTAGACCTAAATCTGTCAAAATAATCACGAGGCTATGTATAAACTACTCCGGCTCATAATAATTGCCAGCCCCGTTGTAAATCCATCGCTGGGCGAAGACCTCCACACGCCATGTCTTTTATGGCCGTTTTTAACCATACTTCACCACGCTGGTCAGTGCGGGTTGGTGATGGAGGGGTGGTGGATGGGGGGGACCTAGTACCGGTTTGTATATATCGGTTAGCCGTAGCTGGGAAATTTAACTCAGGTTGCCGTGTTCATGGCACAAGTGCGCGAACCACTGCGCCGCCACTCTGCATCCCGCCCCTCGACCACCCCGCTTCCCGGTGGGGGAGCAAAATAAACTCGATAACCCATGAAATCTCATTTTTTTTTAAGTAGGGAGAGAAGGCAGATAGATGTAAGTGGATGCAACAAATGGAACAAATTAATTATTGAGTTCATTGTGCGACCATCTATCAAAAGTGGATTGCAGTGTTTTCTTAAGCCAGCATGAGTTATCTTGAGAATAGGAACAGTGTGGGTTTGTAAGTTTTCCAGGACGCGCCTCAGTTGCCACGATTCAAGTTGACGATCCGACAATCAATGTTTATGGCGCTATTACCATCTCCTTTGTATCCTCATTCATAAATGTAACATGAGCATATCACTCGCGCATAATTTGTACACGTAAATAATTGAGTTTCACGTGCAAGATTTGACGCGTCTATCGTGTGCATGAGGATCTGTTTAATGTCAGTCAGTCCATCATTATGCGGTTTGAACGGGTGCAAATCAGGTTTCTGTTGAAATGTCTCACAAATGATCAGAAGACATCAGTTTAAATCTATATAGAGATTAATGTTCATCCGCAACTATCAAGCAAATTGCATTTTTACGCATCGCCATAATGTTCCGCACAGCTTAGCGTCATCTTTGGCCACTACACATCCACATTCTAAGTGGCTAATCTGGATGTGGCTTCGAACAGTGGCGCAGCGATCAGCACACTGCGCTACGAACCCAGCGACCCGTGTTCAATTCCCAGCGACGGCTAGCGTCGTTCGCGAGTGACACCTGCACTGCTCCTGGTCGTCCTTCTTTACGTGCTGTCTGTACCTGGCGATCTGAGTTGTGTTTCTGACCAGGACAAGAGTCGTATCAGCACCGATCCTAGGGTGCCTGATACCAACCATCGCCAAACGGCACTGACCAGCGTGTTGAAGTACAATAAAACAAACCAACACGGCGTTGGGGAGGCCTTCGTCATCCAGCAGTGGATTTCTAAAGCGCTGTGAATTTATGCGTTGTATATCATTGGTTTGCATGTCCCCCTGCAGCCACTAGGAGGCGCCTCATTCGCTGGAATAAATAAAAATAACCTTTTGATTTTGGAATCGGAATCGTGAGCGGGGCGAATCGTCACGTTACCCAGTCGATAGGGAAGCACGCGAGCCCGGCGATCCTATTATCGGCGCCACTGTCTATCGCCGCGGTGGATTATCCCCGTGGTGGAACCAACGACTGCTTCGCCGTTACTGCCGGAGGCGTTAATTTCCCCGAGCGAGTGCGGGGGAGTGTTTATCGCCGGCCATGCTCAGCCGCTGCTGCTGCTGCTGAGTTTTTGTGGACAAAGCATCGTTAAAACGGGAGACATGCAAGAACGGGAAATTGTTTTTCACTCTTATCTGGATGCGCGGAGTAAGATCGTGTTGACATTGTGTGGATTCTCAACAGCAGAACGGGGATGGGGGGAAGAGGAGTTTACTTCTGAACAGAATACTATGGAGAGCAGTGGTTCCGATCCTGGAGACAGGGGACCCCCACTGCATGATTGGCATGGAAGTTATTTGAGGCTTGATGCTGGTCTATGGGTCTAGAAAGATTGATCGATAGCACAGTGGAGCAAAGGATGAGTGGTTTAATGAAGCAGCAAAGCCCCACTGAGTCTCAAATAATATTCTGGAGGGTCCTACATGTGGATGTTGGCCCTGCTCTTGCTTAAACTAGTACTTGGGTTTGTGTGGGAGATGCCCGGGAGAAACACCACGCAGTGTGCAAGGGGATAACTCAACCCACTTGCTGTGCTGCCTCACAGCTCATGTTGTTTGAAAGACTCCTCATTCTCCACGTTCACCACCAATCCTTATCACCGTAGCACTGGATGACAGGCGTGCGTGCGTGCGTGGGAATGTACATTGCTTATGCCTGGTCTCTTGTTTCGCGTTCAAGGCGCTATTTCGGTTTGTCGTTTTTTGTCCAGCAGTTTTTTATTTCTATATCTTGGGACGCATGTTCATCAAATCGGAGAGTGGAAAACCAAATTAGTTTGGACAGTTAAATCAAATTGGCAGACAAGCAAAACGAGTTACAAGGGCGCGTGTGAGTGTTTGAAATTGAAATTATGTATACTTTTTTATCAACAGCCAAATACAAATGTGCCGACGTTTCTCATTACCCATGCGGTATCTGTTAAAGCGCTGCGCAATTACATTTGCATGCGTGAAGTACGGCCCGGGGACGGGTACACAGAGACGCGCGGCTTCTCTAACCATGTCGGGTACATCCACTGACTGCACTTGAGAGCCCGGTTCAGTTCACGGGTCCTGGATTGGAACCCAAGATGTCCAGGGTGCAATCTTTGTGCTCTTACCTCTGAGCCACCCGGCCACCTTAAGCGGGCAGATATTTCCAACGAGCCTCCATTGGGCTGCCGGTTGGAGTCGTTGAACTCGGTACGGAATTACCAACTGGGACTCCTGCGTCTTGTGCCAGGCGCGGCTCCCTGCGCTTGTCTCTTTGTCTTTGTGTGTGCACGTGCGTGCGTGGCCTTAACGTGCACATAGCTTGGCACAAGCGCCGTGGTGACCTCACCGGCACTTCGTGGCGAATGGCGGTTGTAGTTGTTGTGTGTGTGTGTGGTGAGTGGTAAGGCATGGGTTTCGTTCACTGGACTATGAATGCCGCAACCTGGGTTCAATTGCCAACCGTGACGCAGGACATCGTTGCCAAGCAATATCGGAATGTGTCACGGTCCTCCCTTAGGTCGACTCAGCCTTTTAATGAACATTTGGTGAAATGTGTTGGGGATGTACAATGGGGAAGACAAAGGTGGCTGGGTTCGGTGCTGGCCGCACCACCCAATTGTGCACCGTGATAGCCTTAAAAGACGCTCGCCAACAGCACTCGCCGCTAACGTCTGTGTGACTAATATTTATATGTGTGTGTGTGTGTGCGGCACGGTACTGCAGGGATTTATAGACCATGCTACGATCTCGGCTACCTGGGTTTGTTTATCGGTCACCATGCGTGACGCTACCGCTCCAGATAAGCTGTGTACCGGCCGTTTTACGCATTAAAAACATGAATTGGGGATGACATTTTAAGTTACCGCGTACATAATAAGTCGATTTAATTTACTGCATTGCATGGGTTTTGCTTGGCGGGAAAGAAAACGGATTTGTGTGGGGGCATTCGGTTATGTGCATCGCTAACTACACTCTGCTGACATCTTTTATTTAGTTTTTATCGTGAGGCCGCATTTCTGTGTAGTGGTTTTCAGAGACACATTGCGGTTAACATGCGCGGCTCAAGCTCGTTGGTTCCCTGCTCTTTCTGAACCCGCGGGAATCTGTCAACCCTCGCGCTCTTGTCGCGGATCACCGTGACGGGGCAGTGACCCCGGCGGCAGCGTAATCGCCCCTCGTCGCAGAGCTTCACGGTCCCAATCCAGCGGTCCACCCTGGTTATTGTGTGTGCTCGCCGTACACCAGGAGGTGCCGGCTGATTCGCGGCGGACTCTAAAGGGATCCCGTGACGTCATTTTAAACCGAGGCAGGCCATTGTGTGCCAGCATCATGGTCCCAAGTTCGTCAAATTTTAAAATTTACACTGCAAAATTACTCAAAAGCAACCGTGGCCCCCCATACCAGTGCAAACTTGAAAGGACCTGCCTGAAAAAGAACCGTTAGACTCAGTGAGGCTTTCATGGGTAATCAGCTTAGCGATAAGAAATTAACGTGTTTAAAATAAATGTAAACTACTCTAAATCGTAGTATTTGTAACAGTTCCGCAAACCGCTTTCCATGACCTTGCGGAGCACCCGTAGTCCATGGACCACATATTCTGGTTAAATGAGGGTGGCCTTAGAGTTTAACGGCTCGGTAGCATTGCATACGCAATCGCGTGGCAAAACAAAAGCGCCGAGCCTGCGGTGTCGCACAACAAATCTACTTGTAGCAGAGCTGCACCGTTTAACGTGACCTTTGCACGCGTGTGTGTGCGAGCGTGTGTGTGTGTGTGTGTGGGGAGCGATAGTTCTGTGGTTAGCGCGCACTGGTGCATTGTGTAAACGTCAGCACTGTGGGAGACAAAGGCGGCCAAGTGTGGTGCTTGGCCACCCAGCCTCTCGTGTGTGCTGTGCTGACCTTATTAGGTGCTCGATAACGGCACTCATTCCGCTATACGGCGGGATCTTTATCTTGGTGTGTACCCCAACAGGAGCCGGTTGTGACACCGCTAGACAGTCGCTGGAAGGAAGCGCAGCGGGAACTGACGTCGCAGCTGAAGGAGGCCGAGCAGCGGCGCAACGTGGAGGTGAAGCGGTGGGCGGCGGAGCGCGAGAAGCTGCAGAAGCAAATCCAGGAGGTGGAGGTGAGGGTCCTGCCCCCTCGGACTTGGCACACGGACGCTCGGAAACCTGCGCGCAAAAATCTCTCAAAAGCTTTGCGCACTGTCGTACGTGTACAGCGCCAAGTATGAACAGTTGGAGGTGGAAAGGTATCCAGTTGGTGCGTTTTCACGGTTGTTCTTCCGTGTTTTTTTTCCGGGATCGTCACGGCCTGCAGAGCAAGAAGGAGCAGGAGCTGCGCGCGTGGCGCGAGGAGCGCGACCTCCTCGCCTCGGGCCTGGCCTCCGAGTTCGACTCCCTGCGCACGGCGCTCGCTGAGCGCGATGCCGAGATCAGCCGTCTGAACGCCGTCGTCGCGGCCAACGCCGCCGCCAAGGTGGGCGACCGGAGCACGAGGTCACAGTTGGGGGCTCGCGCTTGTTAGGGCGACCGGCGTTAGGGTTCTGATGAATGAGAGTGATTGGGTTGTATGGTTGGCGAGAGAGCTGGATTTAGGTCTGTAAGGATAGCGTTTGCTAAAGGTTAGTGCTAACCGCTAGGGGTAAGGGCTAGTTATATGATTTGGACTGTAAGGATGGTGTTAGGGATAGAGTTAAGACAGTAAGGCAGTTTGGTGGTAGAGAAAGTTATAGCTGTGGGGGCTGGGTTAAGGATTAGGGTCGGTGGTGGGCGAGCTATGGCTGGTGTGATTCGTGAGGTTGGAGTCAAAGATAGTATCCGAGTGGTAGAGCTTGCGTCGGGGATGTCATTGGTGTGAGGCGTCGGCGCTGTCGAGGCCTAACCTCTCGCTGGAACGCAGGCGCCCGGCGAGACAGAGGGAAGCGCCGCGCAGCCGAAGGGAGCGCCGCGCCGCGCCACGGAGTCACCGCCTCAACGGACCAGCGCCGTCCGCAGGCGTCGCCCCGAGGAGGAGGAGGTGGAGGAGGAGGAGGACGAGGAGGAGGACAAGTCCCTAGAGTCACGGCGCAGACGCAACAGCAAGCAGCCACGACTGGTGAGCATCAGCGCCGCGGGAGATACCGCACGACTTTATACCTGGATCGGACGGTGAAATGATGTGGGTCACTGATCATCGTCATTCTTTCCATTCAATTAATTATTATTTTCATCATCCATCAATCATCATTCTCATTGCTATCATCATCCATCAGTCATCATCGACATGACCGTCATAATTTGTCATCATAATCATTATCGGTTATCTGTTCACCGTTTAATGTCTGTTTAATTGCAAATACAGGCCACTGGGCATATGATCATCATCATCAGCAGGTGCAGCATCAGGAGCAGGATCAGCCAGTGGCAGCATTAGGGTCACCACCTTGTTTGGCATGGCCAATGGACGATATTGATGATGGAATGGCAGCCAAAGGAACGCGAGTGGATTGTGGTATTGTAGGACGGTGAACGATAGCGATGGTGGGGGGGGATGGGGGGCTGGGGAGCCCTTAATACAGCAGTTGATAATGGTGACAATTTTAGTCCCAACATAGTTTCATGTCATGATGACAAGCATCGAGCTAATGAGCGCTAACGGGTTGTAACGGGCGCTAACGAGCTCGCCCCCGTCTCCACCGCCCCCCCCTGCAGGCGTGCCCCGGTGACTGCGACACCGTGGTGCTCGACCGCTCGGACGTGTCGGTGGACGGGGGAGGCCACGTTCCGCGCTTCCCGCGCTCTCAGCTCGCCATCCACCTCTCCCCGCTCAAACAGCACCAGCTGCTGAAGTCCTCGGTGAGCGCCGGTGCTCCGGCCGCCCGTGTTTGTTTGCAGGAGAGCCGTGCACGCAGTCGTTTCTTCCCCCGATGCTACAAACAAAACGGCCGGTACAGACGAGACGAACGGTACAAAACGAGACTTGAAAGAACATGACTGTTGAGTCATATCGCGGGAGGAGATGCCGTCATCAGTCAGCGATGCTTGTTTTCACCAGCACAAAGATATCGAGTCCACGTTAGCCGAGGCCATCTCACAGAAAACCTGGCGGATAATTCGGAAATGCGCACGGAGGACATTTTAACCGGGGCTGAAAATTCCCCATCTGCCACCTTGCGAATCGCACACCCCCACCGTGCTTCAGTGCAAGACGACGCTGGCAATCCCCAGGCCTCCTCCCGATGTCCTGCCACGCGTTTCAGCTAAGTGCTCGGGCGAGCTTTCCGCGAGGCGGGCTCGCCGAAGCCTCCGTGGCGCACGGCTACTTTGGCGTGCATGCAGATGAGTGGGGGCCAGACGACGGCATAGTGGCTTTCGCTGTCAACTCCGCTCACCGTCAAACGTGCTCGTGCGACGCAGCCCCCGCTACTCCGCACTCTCTCCGTCCCAAAGCGGAATTTATAATTTTATATAATACAGTCCCCTCTGCACGTGGACGTTTTAATATTAGAACGGAAATGAGATGTCGCGTCTCATTTTGCGGAGGGGGTCCTGGCAGCGGCGGAGACCTGCAGACCCCGGGCTGGTCAATGGCCGTGAAGGAATGTGAAATAGCTCTGCGAGCCTTGTCATATTTCCGCCTGCCGTTGCTCCCCTTTTGTGCGTAACTTGCCGGGCGTGTAGATTGATCGACCAACATCGATTCTTACGTTTGGAGGCAGCCGGCTGGCTCAGAGGTCAAAGGTGCCACCGCTGAGATCCTGGGATTCGAGTCTGGGTTTCAGCCGCCCGTTAATAAAACCGGGTTTGCAAGTTGGGGTGGGTGTCCCGGGGGGTTTGTAATGGCCGTGTCGGAGACACTGAGCCTGAGCTGCGGAGAACGTGGTGCCTTTTAGATTCGCGATTTCTGCAGCTCTTACGTTTGAGGCGAGCAAAACTGTATAAGATGCAAACACGAGAAACAAATTTAAACGGGAAATTGAATATGAGGTGAAAAGAATCGATTTTCGACTCCAATCGTGACCCGGGATTATGACCACTTAATTAATTGCCGGGTGGCCGAATCGGTACAAGCCTAGCACTTACAGCACGTGCGTTGAATGACGTTCATATCAATTATTTGCAATACATGCAAATAAATGTTAATCTTACCTTCACGATACTGGAATAAACAAGACTCAATATAAACAGGACAGGCGATGGACAATACAAACACGTTAGTCGGTCATTCACAACTGATCTCTTGGTTAGATCACGCAAGTACAAAGCCTCATGATTATGGTTGTGACAACCTACTGTTCAATAAAACAACGATAGACGTTACGAACCACATGGAGAGTACAGACGAGACGGAGAGCGCGGAAGAGACGCAACACAAAACTATCGTCGAATCGAGTCCTTGGCCTCGAATTGTGACAATCGATGGAGCACCGTGGTGAGGCAGAGGGGAGCACCATCCCAAACAACCATGTGCACGTCTTCTTGTCGCAGGCCAAGGTTCCCTCTCCCCAGAAAGCCAGCGATGAGGGCCGGAGCGGCAGCCGGTTGATGAAGCTGAGGAGCAAAACTCAGCTGAAGGGCGGCTGTGAGCAGGTGAGTGACACGTGGTGAGAACAAAGTGGCCAACCTTGCAGGTCTAACGACAAGTTGCTGCTGGTGCTGCTGTCAGCCTCTACATTTCGACTGCAGAAAAGAAAATGCCTCCCACATTTTTTCCGCTCCTTCCTGTCTGTAGTAGTCGTTCCGGTCCATCTGTAGTCTCCCAGCCCTTCTTGCCAGCTCTTCCGCTGTCTTCCTCTGTGATATGTCTATGGGTCTCTGCGAATCTACGGGTCTCTGTGCGAGTCTATGGATCTCTGTGTGAGTCGGCCTGTAACGTCCCACTGCTCTGCGCAAATGCCTTTCCCCCCGTTTCTTTCCATATCCTTCCTTTCCTCAGTTGCTCCTCATGGCCTCTGTACCTCGAGACGCCTTCTCGCCGCTGCCATCTCTTCGGCTGTCTTCCTCTGCCCCCTCTCGGTCTCCACTCCGCTATTAACGATAAGCGATGAGAAGCAAATCACAGGGTCGCGGTTTACAGCACATTCATTAAGTCTCAGAATGCTGCGTATAAGCGCACCCTATATAAGCACAATTCTGACATAAGAAACACATTCGTACGTTACACTGGTGGGGGGGAAGTCAAAGGTAAATTTCTGATACGAGCATGTGTGCTCATATCCGGCTTCTGCGGTGTCATAATTAGGCGAGCAACAATTAAGATCAACTCTTAGGCTCGCGACGCGTGCGTTGAATGTCGTGCGTTCACAATGGACCGTTTATGTTGCATGCAAACGATTGGTCAGCGTTACACTTTTGACTAAAAGGAACGAACGGGCAGAACAAGTCATGCAGATAAGGCTGCGAATGTAGGCAACCCTTGGGTCGTGCGTGGAATTAAACGTGGAGGATGTGTCCGTTTACGCCGTGCGCTAAATTATCGATATGCTAATGTTACGTTTAGGGTAATTGACTCGACACTAGTGCACAAACAAGGCGGGTATAAACTGGAGACAATGCAAACAAGACGGCAAGCCCCGGCCGATACAGAATTGATTCTCGAATGGATTTGCGGCCGTGCATCACGGCAATTTATCACACGGCCGGGGTGGTGCGAAATCATTACGTGCCTAGTTTGAAGCACATACATTAAGTCCTTGCTGTAAAATAATAACAATGCCCTTTATTGACCCAGGAGAGCCTCGCCGAGTCTCCAGGCTCGTTTTTGGGAGGGTTCCTGCTTACGTTGGGATGTTTTTATCGATGTCGTGTAGGCGTGTTTGGTGTCACGTGGGAGGAGACCGGAGAACCTGGAAAAACACCACCATGCATGCACTCAAACCTCTAGAGAAGGAGTCAAAAAAACCCACTTGCTGTACTGACACCTACTTTTTAACATCATAGCCCTGCTGATTTAGCAGTTTGCGAAGCCCTCATTCTGTAATTATACTTCATACATTTATTAAGCGCGCTCATTCTAAGATGACTCCGCGTTCGTTAATGATTAATCCAATGTCACCCGTTGGGGCTGAACCATCACGTTGCAGCACGCCAGTGCTGTATCCCTGTTGCGTGCTCCCCTGCACACGCTCGCTCACGCGATTCCTTCCGGGCGGCTGTGCAATAACGCACACACACCTGCGTCTCCTCTCCACCACGGCGATCGCACGCACAGAATCTCGTGTGTTCGTGATCCTGGTCCCCCTTTAGAAAATGAAAAGAAGAGACCTTCAGCCGTAACGTGCTCTCCCCCTCGTTATGAATAAAAATGTTGTCCACTGAATGCGTAGGGTTTTTTTTCGCAGCCAATATGTTTCATTAAGGCAGAATGATTTCCTGTTTTCTGTCCTGCTTAAGTTTTGCTTCTGAGAATCGTTTGTCACTTTACCGGTGATGTGAGATGAAACAATAGAAATTGGCGTGTTGTTAAGACGATTGCCCACCACGTGACGGTGCAATTAGTTTGGCTGTGTCGGGTGGTGGAGGGTTACACGACAAAAACAAAAATGTACGGCATGCATTACGTGGTCCGAACGCAAATCCCAATTACGAATGAAAAATTTTAATTGATCGATGTCCACATGATAAGCCACTTCGTTGAGCTATCATTTGTGATGGCCAGGTCGCTTCTGAAAAAGAGCTACATAGCTCAGTGGGCCTTACATGGTAAAATAAAAAAATAGTTTGGTTTTACCCATGTGACTTCCGCCCCCGCCCCATCCCCCCTAACCAGGACGGCGGCGCGTCGGGGAAGACGGTGAGCGCCGGCACGAGGCTCGGAGCGGGGAACTGTGGCGGGGACACCGGTGCGACGGGACCCATGCAGCGCATCGGAGACTTCCTGCAGAGCTCCCCCACGCGCCTCAAGAGCTGCGGTAACTGATCGCGGCCGCTACGGCTGCTCTATACGACGGGCAACGACGGTGGACGCTAACAAGGGCCGTAGACGGAAGTGGGAACTAACTGTGACTCCGAACAGTGCCAGTACTAACGTGTACTTGCGATGAGTGCTCACAACAACTATCCTCACAAGTGATGACTTACAATGAGAATGTATTCTGGCATTGACCGTGAACAACAGCAGTGACTGCTAACAGCAGTATCTTGGCATGCCGTCTCATTAAGACCCTGTACACATCCTCATTGTACTACAGCAGCCGTGATTTACTGACAATGCCTTACGAACAACTGGAAATAACAATTATCACTCGCAGATGACTTGACAGCAATGACTGCTGACAACGGCTTTGTGAGATGAAGGATATTGTATTGTGATGCCATGCAAACCCACATTTCCTTATAATTGTGTCGTACAACAAAAAGCAGTGACCGTGATGACCGACAGTCACGTGGACTGCTACCAACAATTCACAATAAAGTTCGTTTTGGGTTAGGTCGCGTAAATATAAATGTGTCGTTAACACACCACCACCCGGCAGAGACAATCGGTACGGTTTGTCACGTGAACAAACGATCTTACTGAAAACAAACCTTCATGATGAATAATAATGTTGGTCGTGAAAGCCTACGTGTTAAACTGCTAACAACAACAAGGACGGCGACAGCTTTCCGGTGACGTTCGCCGGCAACTGCGAACTCTCCGCGTCGCTTGGCCCCTGGCGTGCTCGTGGCCTTTCCGGTGACGTCACCGCTGCCAGAGAGGGCGCAGGGCGCCGTCGGTGCTGACGCCCGGCGCCTCCACCCACGCCGTGCCTCTCCTTTGTCTCCGCAGCCAAGCAGATCGCGAGCACCTTCAAGTCCGCGGAGGCGGTGAACGCCACCGCCGCCGATGCTGCCAAGACACCGCCGCTCGGCAAGAGGAAGTGCAAGCGCAAGTTGCTGAAGCTGGAGATCTCCTCTCCCATGGACTTCTCGTCGCACACGGTGAGACGGGCCACCCTCGCCCCACTCGTGCGCGTGTATGCCGCGTTGGTGGGGGGTGGTGGTGGTGGAGAGGGGTTGGCGCACTGCGCTACACATCTGGCATCCCGAGTACGATTTCCGCTCACGGCCAACACTCGTGGCGAATATATGAACGAGTCCCCTGGCCTCCCCTGGGATGCTTCAGAGCACCTGGCGCGGTGTGCGCACATCAGCACTGGGGATACAAAGTCGGCCGAGCGCAGAGCTGGCCACCCTACTGGCTCGTGCGCCGTGACGGCCTTAATAGGTGCTCGCTAACAGCACTCGCCCCCCAACGGTACGTTAAAGGGCTCCGTGGGGGATCTTTGTGTGCGTGCGCAGTTTGTGGACAACAAGCAGCAGAACGCGGAGAAGGAGAGCGACCACAACACCATCATGCGGCAGCTGCGCAGGCGCAAGCAGTGACGGGGAGACGCGTCGCTGGCACTTCTCGCGCTCGAGAGTCCGGAGTCTGCACCGAAGAAATGTATCCCGGTCTCAACCTCACGAGGCACATCCACCGGAGAACGAAGCGAGCGGTTTTGTAATTGGTGAGCGGGGTGGCGATGGAACTGTTCGGCGAGCCTAACGGCTCCTCGGGCTCACGACGACGTGAGCCCGCTTGCGTCATGTCAAGAACGGATTGTTTCTGATTTGTGTACACGATCGGCTCACGGAAACCCCCTGCAGCCGCGAAAGAGAAGAAAATCTATTGGCAAATTGAATAGGAGATGGTTAATCTAATCGTGGAGAGGGCGAGTCGTTGCGTCCTTATTGACGAGAGTAGATTTGAGCTCTGACGTGATTAAGCACCCACTTGATTTAGTTTCTTAACGAACGACAGACCCAGCGGCGACCTCTCGCTGGGGAGTAGAATCGTTTTTTTCGGTGATTCGGCGGAAATGGCGGCAGCACATGCCACTTTTGTGAATGAGCAGCACGTGCGTGAGTTTAAGGAAAAAAAGCACGTGGCTTTTAGCGAGCGGCGGGGAACAATTTGAGCGAACGCCGACGGGGAAAGTTTTAAAGCGCGAGCCGAATGAAGGCAAAGTTGTTTTTATTTTCCCGAACACAAAAGGTGAACTCGGAACGTTACGAGCGTGTCGAATTTACAACCGGCTCTTATCCCCCTCCTTCCTGAGTGTGTGACATGCGGAGAGTTTATGGCGCTGGACCTCTTTCGGTTTGACTTATTGCCCGCACTCTGGTGCATGCGTTGTCTTGCCAACCGTGCATTACTTTTCTGACAGGGCTTCGAGATAAGTTTAGAAGCCCAGGGTCAATGTTAGCGGCCGCCCGGGTTAGTTGTGTGGGTTAGATTGTGAGATTTGCTTAACGCTCCGGGTGTCCGAGTAGAGAGCCGGAGCCTCGGCCACTGACGTTTGTCATCGTTACAGTCTGCATACAAAAACAAACATTCAGCCATTCTCAAGTCACCAATGGATGAAGACCTTTCCATGCCCTGGGGTTTATCTTTTTAAACATACTTCACCATGCTGGTCAGTGCAGGTTGGTGAAATAGGGGAGAGTGGTGGGATCGGGAACTCAGGTTGCTGGCTTTGTGGTGCAGCGTGCTGCCAACAGCTATGCCGGCGTTCCACTTGCTCCATAGCCCTTATGATTCACAACGTGTACAACATTTTTTACGTCAAAGCAAAGAGGTCATTGGGGCCCGATGCCACTCAAAGCAGCCGCCACACATCATCATCGTCGCTTCTTTCCTGCTGTCACTTTGCTCGGCTGGAGCACAGACGCTGTATACACCCCCACGCGCGGTCATCGATGTAGCTTTCTGATGAGAGGGGAGCACAGAGAATCGCCGGCGATGGCATGTTTGAAGCGTGTTTGAAGCGCACGGGAGGGCGTTTATTGCTCTGCTTGTCGTGATTCTGGTGTCAGGTGCAGCAGTGGTATTGCTGCCGCTGTTTCCTGACGGCCGTGAGTATGAGGAGACGGGGGTGGTGGGGGGGGGTACGCAGCTGACAGCGTGGCTCCATCGCGTGCAGGAGGTTTGATTTAGCAGGAAGAGCCTGGCGATGGAATGTAGGCGGGTAACAATATACCACTATTCATCAATTACATTTCCATTGCTGTGCTCGTGAGGATGTCCATCGAGGAGAGTGATGAAATCAGTTGGTGTGCAGGTGTCGTGTGAGTTTCTACGTGGCAGCATTGTGACAGGTGGATTGATGATGATGCATATATCGAATCTCGTGTGTGTGTGTGAGAATCGATTATAAAAAGAATGTGGATACGTTTTATGTGATTGGGTCACCTGCAGCCGCTGGAGGCCGCCGCATTCACCAACACTTGTAATGCGATTGTCGAAGAGCCGAATCGTGAACCACAAATGGGGGACCACCAAGCTGGGAGGGGACAAATTGGTCATGGTTCCACGCAGCAAACCTTTGATCCGTGCTCGCGAGAAAGCGACCTTGAGTCTGCTAATGCAGCCTGCGTGCCCCACCTGCGGCTGCACGCTGTGAACATTCAAGGTAGATAGCGCCAGATATTTTTGTTTCTTTTTGGCAGCCGTCCCCGAGCCGAGCGAGCCATAGACTCGTAACCGCCTTAATGCTTTCATTTCGATCACTTTGCCAGAAATCTATATGTATGTATATGTACCACTGCGTAGGGTTTTTTTCCTTCCGCGCTCGTGCTGTTCCGCTCTCCCATGTGGGTGTTTTTTTTTCTCATTCAGTTGCTCGGCACGGTGTCCCGGACGTGTCGGTCCGCGTGCCCCCCAGCTCGCTGGGGAGCGTGCAACACGCGGTAGCGATGTGGGAAACGAACGGGAGACCTGTGCACATGTGAATACATATACACGAGTGTGTGTACATTCATCACTAAACCGGTTTTCGCACTGGAATTGCCGTCCGCGCGGCGACGCGAGTTCACAGGGGAAATCCCCTTTTGAGTTTTAATTTTATTTACGCACGGTTTCACGTTTGACAAGCGGATAGCCATTTGGCGACGCTGCCGCACACGCACGCACACAAAGACAAAGATCCCCCGTATAGCCTTAACAGACTGTTGGGGCAAGTGCTTTTAGCGAGCACCTATGAAGGCCGGAACGGTACACGAGAGGGTGGGTTGCCAGCACCACGCCCGGCCGCCTTTGTCTTCCTAGTGCAGATGTTTTTTTATCACTGCACCAGGTACTCATTTGAGACCGAGTCGACCTCGGGAAGGAGGCCCAGGACCGGTTTGGATAATCATCGCTGGTGTTGGACAGATTTTGAAACGGATGGTGATTTAGAGCAGTCTGAGAGGGAGGTATGTGATCGTCTTTTTGTCTCGGTGATCCTACTCGTCTCGTTCCTTGATGCTGTGGTTCTCTATATATATATTTTGGTTTTGTACCGTCGGACTCTGCGTTCGCGATCGGAATTTTATGGAGAAATATAATTCGTGTGAATGGCAAAACACGCGGAGAGTTATGCACCGGGAGCTGTTGTGTCGCTTGGATCGTCTGACCTTCAGCAAATCTAAACCGTCAGCAAAATCTCGACGAATAAGAACGTATGCTTTTGTTTAAATGGAAATAATGATTCCGCTTTTATTAGCAACAGCAGTATTTTTCACACTTAATAAACACTTTAAAAAAAACTGTCCCTTGTGTATGTGAACACGCGTTGTGGTGAGCCGGAGTGAAGTGGTTAACACATTGAGCTACGAACCCAGCGATCCTCGTTCAAGATTTGAACTGGTCCTGGGCTTTCCCGAGGTCGATGCAGCCGTAAATGACTTCCAGGTGCGGTGTGTAAACGTGCGAACATTGGGGAGACGAAGGAGGATGGGTGCGGTGCCGCTCACCCATCTCCCCTTGTGCCGTGTTAAGTGCTCGCTCACAGCGACCGTTAAGCCGCTACTGCTTTAAGCTGCTGGATCTTTGGTTTGCGTGGGGGAGCGGTGACGTAGTGGTCGGCGCACGACGCTATGAACCCGGCGACCCAATGTTGCTTCCACCAGCGCTGGATGGACTCCAGGCGTGCGCAGCCGCCGCCTTGCCCGTGGGGCCACGGATTCCGAACGAGAATCCCCTCGTGCCTGCTCCGCAACGACTGAATTATTTCGAACGCGATGACTCCGTATGGTGGATAGAGAGCGTGTTCTAACGGCTGCATGAACTCGAGAGACGCACGGTGTGCGGGAGGCGTGTGTTAGAGCAGGGAGGATGGGTTTTTAGATCACATGTGGAAGTTTTCTGTTTAAATGCGTCGGAGCTTCTGTGGATTTCTTTTACTCCCCCCCGCCCCTCCTTCCTTCCCTGACACGACCCCCCGTGCGTCACGGCCCGCAAAGTGAACCCTTCTCGGAGCGAGTTAGTGCGAGGCGAGGGGCTGACATGGGTGTCTTCCCGCATCACCCCTGCTGCCCAATCCAATAAAACATTGTACATATTTCATATCTTCCTTTCCCCAGTCACCCGCCCAGCCTCCTCCCTCCTCTCCGGCCGGCACGGCACACGGAGGGGTGGCGGCCAACACCACTCCTTTGTCTCCCCCCAGTGCTGATGTTTAACGCACCAAGTTAGTAATTTACGGCCGAGTCGACATAGGGGATGCACAGTTCCGGCTCAAATATATTCGCCACTCGTCGGTTGTGAGCGGGAATCGAACGCGCGTCGCCGGGTTCGTAGCGCAGTGCGCTGACCGCTGCGCCGCCGCTCCCCACCCCATGCCCCCCATCCCATGCCCCCCGCCCCATGCCCCCCGCTCCATGCCTCCCGCCCCATGCCCACCGCCCCATGCCCCCCACACCCTTCCAACTCGCCCAGCTGCCACCCCCCCCCGTCTTATCACTTCAGCGCGCCCCCCTCCAGGCATCGCGAGCTGCACTCACGGTTAAAATATAAAAAAAAATCGCCAATAAATAACGCATGGCCGGGCCGCACCATAGGACGTCAAATAATTCATAGCCCCGGAGTCTGGCACCGCTGAGTGTCTGGGTTCGGCTCCTGGCATCAGCTGCCCCGTGACTAAGCCGGGTGGTCGCGTGTAAAGTTGACGGTCGTCAGCTCGCTGACCAATGACCCTTCAACAAAACAAAAACCCCCACCACATTACATTTGGTTCCGCATGTTTTTGTTGCGCTAAGATTCCCGCCCCGAGAGTATCGTTGTGACCGTCACGACACCACAATCGTTCCTCTCATATGGCAGAGCGGGTAGGACGGTGCTGCCCTCCACTCTGTGTGTAGACCATGGGTCACGTGCAGGGGTTTTGCAAGGAGTAGTTCTGTAATATTCACTTCCGTGGACCGTTCTCTAACACGAAGGGTTGCGCTGCCCCCCTCGGCCTCCCTCTACTCCTGCCCTGCACCGTCGGCATTTCCATTGCCTCTCTAATCTGTGGGTCTCCATGTGAGTCTTTGGATCTCTTTGTGAGTCTCTGTGTTTCAGTGTGAGTCGACAGGTCTCCATGCGAGTCTATGGGTCTCTGCCTGAGTCTATGGGTCTCTTTGTGAGTCTGTTTCAGTGTGTTCGACAGGTCTCCATGCGAGTCTATGGGTCTCTTTGTGAGTCTATGGGTCTCTTTGTGAGTCTCTGTGTTTCAGTGTGAGTCGACAGGTCTCCATGTGAGTCTATGGGTCTCTGCCTGAGTCTATGGGTCTCTTTGTGAGTCTCTGTGTTTCAGTGTGAGTCGACAGGTCTCTATGCGAGTCTATGGGTCTCTTTGTGAGTCTATGGGTCTCTTTGTGAGTCTGTGTTTCAGTGTGAGTCGACAGGTCTCCATGCGAGTCTATGGGTCTCTGCCTGAGTCTATGGATCTCTTTGTAAGTCTCTGTCTTTCAGTGTGAGTCGACAGGTCTCCATGTGAGTCTATGGGTCTCTGCCTGAGTATGGATCTCTTTGTGAGTCTGTGTTTCAGTGTGAGTCGACAGGTCTCCATGTGAGTCTATGGGTCTCTGCCTGAGTCTATGAGTCTCTTTGTGAGTCTCTGTTTCAGTGTGAGTCGACAGGTCTCTGTGCGAATCTTTGCGTCTCTAAACTCCACAGTCTTTGTACTTGCATCTTCTTTGTTTCCTCTCAGCACGAGGCCAACATGCACATCATCTAAGTCTCGCCTCCTTATCGTGAATATTAGGCTCGCCTGCCAAGGCTTTAAAGCCATCATTCCCCACCCCCTTTTCCCCGGGATACATGTGTGTGTGCTTTGCTCCGCTCTGTGAGCGCTGTGACAAAGGGGCCCCCTCCCCGCTCGGCGACACGCAAATTAACTTTCTCGCGATGCAGTCGCCTGATAATCCCGCACCCGAGGACGTCTCGAATTGGCTCCTTGAGACATTGTCAAGAGGGCCTCGCGGTACGTCTCAGAAGCACAATGGTGGTTGTTTTGTTGTTGTTGCACAATCTAGAATGAAGTGGTCACGCGGGGGATTGATCACGCGGCCAGGCGAGCTGATTAAAGTCGGATCTCGTTGAGATAAAAGTTGCAAATCTCTGCTCTGAGAAATCGGGGAGGGGGGGGGACAGCGGCGACAAAAACAGAAGCAGCAGCAACAACAACAACAACCACCAACAAACAAATAACTGCTCGGAGCAGCTCGTAAATCCACCAGGGCCACGCGGGATGCATGCCAAGTGATTTGAAATCTCCCAACGCTGTGCGGGAGAAAAATCTCCCAACGCGTTCGTGATTCGTGCTTAAAACACCACGGGGCTTGTCACGGTTTACCGTACGACTTGGAACGTCGCCTGACTTTTAAATTCATCCGGCGAGTAAGAGCCGGCAGAGCCGAGAAGCCTGGGTTCGAATCCGTGTTTTGGGGTCGCGTGCCCCAAGCTGTGAGTTAAACCGGATTCTCAAAACGAGAGCGAATTGATGATTGGTTTCTCAAAGCCCTGCTACCGAAGACTGCACAGAAAATTATCGTAATACGTACGGGTTTAACTTAATTTGGTTAAGTTCCAACTCTGGGTATTTATTAATTCGCTCGCTCTCGCAGAGAGTTGTAGAGAACGACTCGGAGGAGGAAACCGGAGCACCCGGAGGGACCTCACGCGCGCGAGGGGGCAACCCTCTATCCCCATGAGACGGAGACAGGCGAAGTTCACATTTAGCTGTACCGCCTTCTCCTGGCGAGCCAGGAGTACGGCACATCATCGAGTCTCACAACATCCGGGTGATCCACGAACCCTCGTTCCTGCGCTGGGGAACAGGCAGCCACGTTTCAAACAAGCCCCAGACACGGGTAATATGCACGCGGCCGCTGTGTGAAATTTAGCGAAAACAACCCATCAGCAGTTCCAAGAAAAATCATTAAATTTTATTGGAATTAGCCAAACTAATGGGTCCCATAGCCGGGAATTTGCACGCGGCTGCCGAAACCCCAGCGCTGAGTTATAGGTAGCAACGAGGGTTCGTGGATCACCCGCAGAGGCAGATTTTGGTGACTCTAGAGTGCTGATGAGTCCTGAAAAGGGTGAAACAAGGTCCACAGTTGTCTCTCACTGCATCCCAGCTGCCTCTGTCAATCGGTCCACATTTGCTCAAATTAAATTTGATGGCGACCTGAGACAAGAGAACCATTTCTTGGGGAACTGCTGATGGTGTTTGCATAATGCATCAAGGCCGAGTGCTTTGTGTTACACGTGTCTGTGCGTTGTTTGTAAACCATTAACTCCGTTGTGATGGCCTCTTCCCGTCATTCACCGATTTGATGTCACCTTCCACGGGCCGTTCTCTGACAACGGGGAGGGAGGGGCGCAGCTCTGCGAGAGACAACATTCGGTGGTTATCCGTCTCATGCCAATCTCCTAGCTCGTAGAATAATGTCTCCCCCTTTTGTAGAGCCTCGCGAGGCGCAAGCCTCTACGTCTGGACGGTCCTGTAACATTCGAATCGTTTGGTAAATTCCATTTACGAGAGACTGGCTTCCTGCGTGCGAGGATATATCGGCAGGGCCCGGAGCAAATCCCGCATACACGAGGGGATGACCACTCAGCAAAGCCATCTCCAGGACCGCACCGCACAGCCCCCACGCCTACAACACCTGGCAAGCCAAAGTTGGTCACTCGTCAAAGTACGCAACGAGGCTTGCTTAGCTTCCGAGCTAAGTCACAGTCGTTTAAACAAATAAACCAACAACAATGAATCAGACGCTAAAAAACGCCAAGGCGCAGTAAAGGAAGGAGTAAGAAGCAAGCGACTGTACGAGGGAGAGGGGAGTGTCTCGAGTGACTGGAGGAGCATCGGTCACCCAACAACTATGCGTGGAATTTCGTCCAACGTGATGCCACTCTACGTGCTTTGCGCTCGCAAGACAAATCACCCACACGAAGAACGCCCGCGCAATCTCTTCACGGTTTAAAAGCCATATAGACACTCGGGGTGATATTGGAGTCGCCCCCCTTGCTTTTATTGCTTCCAGCCCACGGATCGATGGCCAATTCGTGCATTTATTTGTTCGTCGATTTCGTTCGATACTTCGGGACGCTCGTCCCTCCGTCAGTCTCACAAATCCACCCCCCCCCCCACCGGTTGACGTTGTGGCGACGTTGGGTGTTTTTTTTCTTTCAGATCCAGGGTTATAGTATGATGATGATGATGACACTTGTTCTCATCTCCGATGGCAGGATGGAAGAGCGACAGCGTT